TCGTCGCGCTCGTTCTCTGACTGGAGCTGCATGAAAATATCGTCGCCCGAGGTGAGGGCGGCGATGACGTCGATGACGTCGAGGAGGCAGTCGAATTGCGGCGTGGCGGCCGCCAGGAGGACGGCGCCAAGAGGGGCCGAGACGGGGAACGCTGCCATCTTGCGGCCGGCGGGGGTGATGGATCCGTCGTCTGCGAGGGCGCCGAGGCCGTGGAGGTGGATGAGGGCCTTTTCGATAGAGTCAATGGCGGGAGCGTCCATGAGGGGAAAGGACAAAACATCGTCGATGCCACGGGCCTTCATCGTGAGAACGGCGCCGAGAACATCAATGCGAAGAATTTCGGGGAGGTCTGTATCCTCGAGCGTGTTGAAGGCATCCTCGGGATATAGGCGGTAGCATTTTCCGGGACCTTCACGACCGGCACGACCGGTCCGTTGGATGGCGGATGACTTTGATATTGGCTTCGCGAGGAGAGACTCCATGCCGAGGCGGCTGCGGTACTGTTTGACTTTGGCTTTGCCGCAGTCCACGACATACCTGACACCGGGAACGGTGACGGACGTCTCGGCAATGTTGGTCGCAAGGACAACCTTTCGCGTAAACCCGCCCTTGATGGGCTTGAATGCTTCGTGTTGCGCTTCGATGGACAATTGGCCGAAGAGAGGGAACACGCGAATCTTGGGTAAGTTCGAAGCGAGAGTAGCGGCATATTCCTCGATGAGGCCCTGGGCCGCCTCAATCTCCTCCTGGCCTGTGAGGAAAGCCAGAATATCACCAGGAAGAGGTTCTTCCGTGTGTATCCTGAAGATGGACTTGAGAAGAGAATCCTGAATGTCTGGGATCGCCCTTGGCAGATGAATGGTCTGCACCAGAAACTGTCGTCCAGGGATGCGCATCTCGCCAACAGAAATCGCCTTGTTGGCCGAAGGCACCGGCGCTTCCTCATCCTCGAGGACAGGCGCTGCCTCTGAGAAAAAGTGCTGTATCCTCTCAACGTCAGCCGTAGCACTCATGATGACAACCTTCAGCGGGATGCCGCCACGGCCCGACAGGTCTCCCAAGAGGATCTGTTTCAGGAATCCTGACAGCAGATCGACATCCACGCTCCTCTCGTGGATTTCATCGACAACAATAGCGCTGTACTGCCGAAGGTGAGGATCATGCAGCAGCTCCTGCAGCAACATGCCCTCCGTCACGAACTTGATCTTGGTCCCCTTGGGTACGTTGTGATCGAACCGCACCGAGTAACCGACCATGCCCTCCGCCCCAGGCCGCAGCGGCGTGCCGGCCTCCTTGGCCACGCGATGAGCCAGCGTCGTGGCAGCGACACGCCGTGGCTGCGTGATGGCGACGACACCGCCGACGGCAGCCTCGCGACCGTCGTCGCCGACCTTGACCGTCTTGCGGCGGCACCAGGGCTCGGCGGTCAGGAACTGCGGCACCTGCGTCGACTTTCCGGAGCCCGTCTCACCAACGAGTACGACGACGTCGTTCTGGCGGACCTTGGACTTGATCTCGTCGCGATGGGCCCAGATGGGGAGTTTCTTGCGGGACTCGAGCAGGACGGGGTCTTCCTTCCAACGGGACGTCGGGCCATTCTTGGCCAAGGGCTTCTTGTCCTTGCGATGTTTGGAGGAGGCGCCATTCTCTGTCGTCTGCGGCTGTCGAGATTTGCGTTCTTTTTGAACGGAAGCGCCCTCTCGTTCTGCTGCCGTTTTCTTGGGCTGTTCTGAGACGGTCACTGCTGGAAATGGTTCTGGCTGCGGGGCGGGCTTCTTTGCTGGCGGATTGAGGTACCCCTCAAGGGAGATGACCTTGTTGCCGACCTTGAGTACATTCTGGTTGCTGAGCTTGCGCTTCTTGCTCTTGGGCTCGCCGCCCTTTGGGTCCGACATGGCGATTATTTTCGTAGTTGAGTTGGTCTCACAGAGGTGATGAGCATCTCAGAAAATTTGCTGGGGTCAGAGGCTGGGGCCGCACAGGGTGTTGGTAGAGGTCCACACCCCCACGGATCCACACATGGTCCTCAGCACGGTCAGACGGTTGCGTTGAACAAGTGCGAAATGGACATGGCCAGAATTCTGATCGTTTCAGTACATCATCTTCTGCTCGTCCGCTGGCATGCTTCGAAACGAATGAAGAATGAAGCAATGACAAATCGAGGGAACGCGGCCACTGAGAATGAGCACGTGGATGGACGGTTTACTCTCACTACTCGAGAAAGTCAATCCGAAATAAACTCCATTACTCCAACCTAGGTAGTATCATGCTATCGATCCTCCCATTTCCCGAAACAGTCTATTTGATGCGGTCGAGACGGGCCCTGTTGAGCCTGACACCATCGTCCACCATGTCCGTCTGCAGACCGTGTTAGCAAGAGTGTGTACACGGCAACGGCCCACAGCAAAGCGACTGACCTTCTCGTTGATCCTGTCGGCAGTGACAATCTGCCTCTGGACCGTCTGGGTCTGCGCCTTGGCGACCCTGTTGAGGACGGAGACGGCGCCGCTGAGCTCGTCCATCTGGCGGTCAATCGTCGCCTCGTCCTCGAGCGCCTGGTTGTTCTCGTCGTCGTCCTCGTCGAGGAAGACGTACTTGCTCTTCTCCGCCGCCGACGACTTGCCCGAACCACGCTGCTGCGACTTGTCGCCGAGGTTGAGACCACGCATCGTCTGCTCCATCTGCTGCGACGAATCCCAGCCGTTCTTCCTCGTCTCGTTGCGCAGCTCTCGCTCGGCACTGCACATCACACACACCGTCAGTCAGCCGCTGCTCCTTTCCCCTTTCGATCCCCCGTGGTTTGATCATGGGGGGGCTCACCGGTGGTTGTCAATGACGTTCTGCTCGTACTCGGCCGTGCGCTTGCTGTTGGTAAAGGGGTTGTTGACGTGGACGGCAAACATGGAGCGGTTGAGGTTCTTGAGCTTCTTGGCCCGCTCGGCGCCAATCTTGTTGTAGTTGGCCGCCTCGTCGAGGCGCTTCTCCGTCTTGTTGAGGCGCTCCTCGTCGCGCGCGAGAATGTTCATCGTGTTGATGCCCGTGTCGGCGGCCTGGTGCGCCAGCGCAATGGACCGCTGCAGTGAGTTGATCGACTCCTGCCGCGTGTCCTGGATCTGCTTCTTGACGTCGCGGACCTCCTGCGCCTCGATCTCCTCCTCGGTGAGCTCGCGCTCGGCGCCGTAGCCGCCGTACGGGTCGTCCCCGGCGCCAGCGCCAGCGGAGGACGAGGAGCCGCCGGCGTTGTCCTGGCCGTAGCCGTTGTGGCCGCCCTGCTGGCGCTGCTGGTTGCGCTGCTGGGCGCCCGAGAAGAGTTGGTCGCGCTGGGCGTCCGTGTCGTTCGAGTTGGTGCGGCCGAGACCGCCGTAGCCGCCGGGCCCGCGTGCTGATGCGGCCGAGGATGCCCCGTATCTGTTGGCGCCGCCGTAGCCTCCACCGCTGCCGCCGCCGCCGTTGTCGTAGCGGTTATCGCCGTACCCGCCCGACGCACCGTACCTGTCGGCGCCGTAGCCGCTGCTGGATCGCTCGTTGGCGTCGCCGCCGTAGGGAGGTGGCGGTTGCGAGTAGGTCGAGGCGCCGCTGCCGGAGGGGTTCCGACGCGGCCCGGGACCGCCGGGGAGGCCACCGGAGCTGCCACCGCCGCCGCCGCCGCCGTAGGGGTTCGACTGGAAGCCCCCCGGTCGTTGTTGCTGGTAGGGCGCCGAGGCGGCGGCGGACTTGGAGCTCTGGGCGTAGGGGTCGTTGGCTGGCGGGGCTTGAGCGTAGGGGTTGTCACCGGCGGGCGGCTGAGAGGACTTCTTGCGGCCGAAAAGGGCGCTGCGAGAAGCATCGTCGTCACCGCCGTCGTCGCCACCCTTCTTGCTGCCAAAGCCAAACTTCTTCATGGTGGCGGTTTGGGATCGGTGGGGTCGCAAGGTATGTGCCGTGTCTTTTGGTACGTAGGTGAGGGGCTGCTGTCGACTTATTCTGCGTGAATGAGGAAGGGATTTCGGGCTTCAATAGGGATCGGGAAGCAAGGTGTGGAAGTCAGTCTCAATCGAGGGGGAGGACTGGTTTTTGAATGATCGGTTGACAAGGTGGCAAAGGTGAGCCCAAAGCCGACTGTTTGTCTTGGGTTTGTTTCGAGGAAAGAGGTTTGGGATGCAAAGGTCTGAGCCCGACAAGGAGGCCCCCTTGGTCCCCCTAAAGGTGTCAGGGAACCCCCCCCTAGAGCTTAGAGCCCACCAGGACCCTCTCCGAGCCCCTAGACGCTGATGCGTGATGGGGGGCTGAGGCGGGGGGCGTGTGTGGCTCCACTCGACTTTGTGCTGTGTACCTTAAGGTAGCTCGCCTGCCTGCCTTGCCTGCCTGCCTGCCTTGCCTGCCTGCCTGCCTTGCCTGCCTTGCCTGCCCAGTGTGCGAGCAAGGCTAGGTTTTGTGCTCAGCCCCACTACACGCGGTACCGACGAGGCATGGACTACGTACCTAAGTGCTGAGACCCTGCATCTGGTTCGCTCGTGGCGATCGTCACGGCTGTTGGGCGCCCCTCAACCAATGCCTGCCGTCTTCCTACCTGCTGGTGCTGAGTGGGCTCGATCCAATATTATCGCCAATCATTCTCACGCTCAAGCGTCCGATTCCTTACCTTACCTACCTTACCTACGCTTGAATGCAAGATACAGCACAGCAGAGAATACAGACAAAGCCAACACAGCTACAGGTATATATATGTTGCGTTCGCTCGACACATCTCCATGTCCCAGCCCCGATGCCGGCCATCGTGATGGATCCATGCCGCCAGAACCAGGCCAGGCATCCCAGGGTTCGATGGTCGGCGGATCGCCATGGGCCGAATCGTTCGACTCGGACCAGCGAGGGTCGTGTTCGATTCAGGCCAACAAGGCCCTCATCCCGGTAGCGTCGAGTGCTTCAAAGCTTGACCTTTTTTTTCGCAACCATGTCGCAGCAATCCCAATTGCGTTGACCATGAGGACCTTGCCTCACCTGATTTCTCTTTCCATCCAATGGCAGCAATAGGGAATCCCGACGAGGAGCGCCTCGGTGAGCATGCACCTTTGCTCGACCATGAGCGAGCGGACGACGACCGCACACCAGCGCGCAAAGGCCACGAGAAGACGGCCCGCCGGTTGTATCTGTCGCATTTCCTGTCAACATGGAACTCGCGCGTCTTTGAGTTCGGCGCCGTCATCTACCTGGCCACAATCTTTCCAGACACATTGATGCCCATGTCAGTGTATGCCTTCATCCGTGGGCTTTCCGCCATCGTCTTTGCCCCGGCCATCGGCCAGTTCATTGATACGGGGAATCGCTTGCGCGTGGTTCGCATCTCCATTGGTATATATTTTCCGCTCCTTTGCCTTGAACAAGCTTTGGTGGCTGACTTTGATGACACAGTCTTCCAGCGCATCGCCGTGGCCATCTCCTGCGCCGCCTTCTACGTCCTTGTGCTCGGGCTGCCCCTGGGTCGTGCTGGCGAAGCGGGTGTGCTCGTGATCCTCTCTCTCTTTGCATGCGTCGAGAAGATCTGCTCCATCATGAACATGGTGGCAGTGGAGAAGGATTGGGTCGTCGTTGTGGCAGACGGCGATCAGGATGGCATGATGCGGATGAACTCGCAGATGCGTCGCATCGATCTGTTTTGCAAGCTGCTAGGACCCTTGTTCATTGCCATGATCGAAGGCGTCTCGGTGCAACTGGCTCTCATCGTCAACCTTGCCATGAACATTGCGTCCGTCGTGGCCGAGTACCATGCCATAGCACGGGTGTACAATGATGTTCCCGCACTCCAGGAGCCCAAGCAGGCCTCGGGAGAAGAATCGACAATCGCAGAGTCTTCAGGAGACTCGCAAACCCGCCTTGGGTCGTTGCTAGGCTACTTGCGACGCATGGCGAAGCAGTCTTTCGCCGACTTTCGCCTCTACTTTCGCCATCGCGCATTCCTGCCGTCCATCGCTGGCGCCTTTCTCTACCTGACCGTCCTCAACTTTGCCGGCCAGATGATCACGTATCTGCTGTATACCGGCTTGACCGCCACGGTGATCAGTCTCGCGAGAACACTGGGTGTGGCGTTCGAGGTCTTGGCCACGTGGGTGGCCCCTTGGTTGATGGGACGCATCGGGCCGGTCAGGGCAGGTTTGTGGATGAGCATCGCCCAAGTCACCATGCTCGTCGCAGGCTTCGCCGTCTTTTGGGTCTTCGAGGCGGAGCGGCCTCTCCTCTCGACAGCGGGCCTTGTCGGCGGCACGATCCTGAGCCGACTGGGCTTGCGCGGCTTCGACATGTGCTCGCAGATTATCGTGCAAGAGGTATGTGCGCTGACTATATTCCGACTGACGCATCGCCCGCCACTGACACTATGTGACCAGGACGTCGAGCCCGAGAGTCGCGGCGTGTTTTCCACGGTCGAAGCGGCGTGGCAGAATGCCTTTGAGCTTCTCTCCTACATGGCCACCATTTACTTCTTCCGCCCGGAGCAGTTCAGGTGGCCGTCCCTGATCTCCGTCGCCGCCGTTGCGTCGGCGAGCGCGACGTACACGGTCTTTGTGTACATTCGCAGGGGTCACTTGCTGCATCTTGATGCGCTGGCTGGGCTCCTGGGCAGCCGAAGGGCGAAGCAGAGGCAGAGGGAAAGGGCGCTTGGTCGCATCATGGCGAGATCTGATCTGTAGACAGGACCTTGTGTGTTGCATAATAGCGAAATGATCGATTGACTTGCGCATATCTCCTCTCAACCGCATATGTGTTGACTGCCGCCGTGGGTTGTCAGCGATTCTATGGGCACTACATGTACCTCGGAGGGTATCGAAACTTTTGCCTGAAATCATGTAGATGCAACTGAATGGCAAGCTGCAAGCTGCAAGCTGTTCCGTGGGAGCTGTACATCTTCGGCGGGTGATTTGGCGTCGCAGGTGCTGGTCAGTACTCCCGTCCAGGCTTCCCCACTGCAGCAGGACTCGTACCTTGTACCCCACCAGGGCGCTGGATGGGCCACAGAGGTCACTGTTACAGCAGCGGCCTGCGTCACACCGGGAAGGCGGAAGACTCATGCAGACGTGTCGTGCCTGACTGGAACTGGCCTCTCTCATTTCCTCAACATCTGCTTCTTGCCATCCTCTGGTGTCTGGCATCTTCTTCCACCATCATCCACCGCACCAAGTAGCCAGCCATAGACCTTCTCACGATACGCTCAAGGAGCCATGTCGTCGCTCCTCTGAGAATACGTTGTCTACCAGCAAACACATGCCGACGAAGAGGCATAGCCACCACCTCCTTTGGAGATTCACCCAAATTGCCAAGATGATACCTCGATTACTCAAATTTGCACATGGCCCTTTGACGATCTTGAACACTTTCGCAATACGAACCGCTCTCCTCGACGCATTCTCGGTCCTGCACATTTGAGTGACACCATCCACCTACGCACACACACACACACACACACACCGCCAACCAACAGCCGCAACCATGGCCTCGGGCTCCATCTTCACCTTCGACGCAGACCCCCAGAGGGTGTCGTCGCCGTGGCTGGGACCAGATGATGCCGCCGCCCGAAAGTCCTCGATGCCGGCCCTCCAGCAGGCGTCATCCAACGACCAGCCGCTCGAACCCGTCATGCTGTCCGACTACGGCGTCACCAAGCTCGAGGCCGAGCCGCAGGAGGGCCCCACGGAGTACAAGCTCCATCTGCTGCTGCGCCCCCGCCGGCGGTACAAGTCGATGAGCACCGTGCCCGACTCCACGCGCGCCGCCGTCGCCGTCAAGACGGAGCCGCGCGGTCTCTCGGCCACCTCGACCGAGTCGCGCCAGATCCGCCTGCAGCAGCTGACGACCCAGCTGCTCTGGCGCCTGCAGCAGTCGTCGCCCTACCACGTGCTCAAGCCGAAGGACCTCGTCGTGCCCAGGCTGCCCGACGACGCCGTCGATCTGCGCCAGGCGCTCCAGGTGCAGAGGCCCGTGCTCGGGCTCGAAGAGTCGCGCGGCGCCCTGTATGAGATTGGCGTCTCCGACGACGGGACCCTCGTCGGCCTGACGCAGGATGAGATGGACGAGAGCATCGTCACGCTGCGGGTCATGGCGGCGACCTTGGGCTGCCGAGTCGACCTGCTTCGCGAGGTCATTGTCGGGGAGTGCGAGTGGCCCGAGACGGCCGAGCTTGTTGACAATGGCGCATCAGTTCCGCCGCAGACGCTTCGGCACGGCACGCTGCGTGTTGCCGAGGCGTTTGTCACGCCCGACTTTGGATCTCGAAACGGGGACCCAGGGTCTCGAAACGGCTTGTCCAAGCAGGACGCGGCTGCCGAGTCGGGCATCGACAAGAGCGAGAGCCCCAGCACGAGCCGGTCCATGACCGATCAACTGCGCGTCACATTGACGGGACCGACAACCTCTGGTAAATCGACGCTGCTAGGCACTCTGTCGACGAGCACAATGGACAACGGTCGTGGCAGGAGTAGGCTCAGCTTGTTCAAGCATCGACACGAGGTCGTCTCCGGCATGACCAGCTCTGTCGCGCAGGAGCTTCTTGGTTACAAGGCCGACATGATCGTCAACTACTCGAAAACCCACGTCGAGTCGTGGCTCGATATCCACTTTGAGTCGGAAAATGGGCGCCTCGTGTTCGTGTCGGACTCGGCCGGCCACCCGCGCTTCCGGCGGACGATTCTGCGAGGCCTCGTCGGCTGGGCACCTCAGTGGACGGTCTTGTGTCTCGCAGCCGACGACCTGGAAACGAACTCGGCCAAAGATGGCATCAGCTCCTCAGCGCAAGACGTGCTGGGGTCTGACGGTGCCAACGTCGACCTTGCCAAAGCGCATCTTGAGCTGTGTCTGAAGCTCAAGACGCCTCTTGTCGTGGCCATTACGAAGCTCGACCTCGCCACCAAGACCAGCATCCAGAGAGTCCTGGGCAAGGTCTTGACGCTCATCAAGGAAGCTGGACGGATCCCCAAGATCCTGCAGCCTGCGCAGAATGAGCCTCCGAGCCCCTCGGCCATATCTGCGTCGGACTCGGCCAAGGTCAAGGGTGCTCTCGGTGACTTGGCCCAGGGGGGTGACCTCCTCAAGTTGGTGCCAATCGTGTTGACCAGCGCCGTGAGCGGTGCTGGTATCGGCCTGATGCACGCTCTCCTGAAGGAACTCCCTTTACCCCGCGTCCCCACTGCTCATGACTTCGTCGGAGAGGCTTTGAACCCAGAGCAGCCCTCATCTGTGTTCCATATTGACGACACGTTCAGCCGCCCTGCTGATTTTGCTTCCATTACTGACAATGGCTCGCAATCCGACCTGGGGATCGTCGTCTCGGGCTACCTGCGCTTCGGCCATCTTTCCGTGGGCGACACAATCGTGGCGGGGCCGTTTCCATCAGGTGACGATGACGTCAAGGGCAGAACGCCGGAGGAACGTCCGTCGCCCGGGGGCGGCTATGGGCTTTCGATATCGCACCCGTCGTCGGCCGAACTGGCTAGGGTGGCGATCCGTAACGCCGTCGCCGCATCGACCATCAAGGGCGAATGGCACAACGCCAGGATTGTTAGCATCCGCAATCTACGTCTCGGAGTGCGGACCCTGGCAGCCGGGCAGGTGGGCACAATCGGCATCCTGCTCGACGTGCCGCCGCCGCCGGCCGGCTCATCAGAGGGGAGTCTCGAGGCGCCCCGCATACGCAAAGGCATGGTCCTCGCCGTGCCGCCGCAGCACATGCTCAAGACGGGCATGTCGCTGCAGGCGGCGAGCGGTCTGACGGCCATGTTCCACGACCCCAACGCCGCGTCGCTCATGATCGGCACGCTCGTCAACGTCTACTGCGGGACCGTCCGGGCGGCGGCGCGCGTGCTGGGCCTGTCAACGCTGCGCGCCCGCGACGGCTTGCACAAGGCCGTGTCCGCGACCGACGAGGTCGAGGAGATATTCGCTGTGGACCAGGACGAGGATGCCACGAGGCCTACGGGCGTGGAGGTTGTGCTGGAGCTGCTGACGAGCCGGGAGTGGATCGAGCTGGGCTCTCAGGTTGTCATTCTCGAGGGCGGGCGCAACGATCGCTCTGGACTGGAGGGCTATGTCGGGAACATTGTAGAGATTGTTGACTGAGCGCGTTGCATCTAAATTGGTTTTTTGACGTTTCTGCATTTATGTTTACTGCACCTTTTTTTCATCATTCGGTCTGAGAGCGTTGGGCAATTACACCATTTTCCTTTCTTTTCAGCTAGAGCCGAATCGTCTTTTGATGTCCCAGCACCTGAACGAGCAGCAGTCCATGTTTCGCAATGCGCAATGTCACTTCAAATGAAGGAAAAAGAAGAAGAAAAAGTCATATCTTCAGGACCTATGTACCATTTTGACGCCTGACGCCATACTATGCTTCTGCCATCATGGCCTGATTTCTCCCCTCCGTTCCCCTCTCTGGCTCCGCCAGCGTCCCGTCACGCCCGCACAATGCCGAAGAACAGCGTCCACGTCAAGATGAAGCCCGGCAGCCCGCTGAAGATGCCGCCGACCCAAAAGTCAAAAGGCGACCGGAAGTAGCGCGCCGTGCTCAGCGGCGGCAGGCCGGCGGCGGTGGACGAGGGCGCGATGCGCAGGACGTAGGTGAGGGTCGTGACGAGGGCGGCCAGGGCAAAGTAGAAGAGGAAGCCGGCGTAGGACTCGAGGCCGAGGATGCCGGCGGCGACGCCGAAGAGGGAGGCTGTGATGTTCTGGAGGTTGGAGAGGGACTGCGGTGGCCGGGGGGAGGGACTGTTAGGACCTGCGCATGCGGAGACGGCTCGGTTCTTGGGGAGGGGGGGATATGTTTTTTTTACCTTTGTGTTGTGGATGATGGATTCTTGGACGATTGGGGCGATCTGGTAGTCGCGTTCGGACGGCATGGTGGCGGTGTGGACGAGTGACGCTCGTGGGTGTGGTGTGGTTCGTGGCGAGGCGAGGCACTTGTGGGTTTGGTTTGATGGCTTGCGCGCACGTAGGGACGAGCTTGGGTTGGAGGACTGGTTATGCTGGCGATGGAAGCTCGTTTGCTTCAAGTTGTAGCTGGAAGCTGTCTACTGTCGTGCCTGCCCCACTCCTAGGTGCTTGGTGTAGGGAAGGTCGCTGAGTGAGGATCAGTCACGTGACGGCTACATGGAGCAGGTCCATCTCCAGCTTGAGGAGGTCCGATGTATGGTCCGGAGTAATCGTCAATAAAGCAGCCTTTTTGGCAACAAGATCTAGTGGATCTCCCAACTGTTCTCCCGCCGAACTCAACTCGGTGCATGAGAAATGCTGCTCATGTACTAATGAACGTCTTTCGATGAGGACCTAGGCACACGAATGGCGGTTCCCTACAATGTCTTCTCATCAGCCACCAGAGACCAGCCGGCTTGCTGATCTACCCCGCGCCCATCGCAGCTTCAGCTCTCCGCACCTCCACAACATGGCACATTACCTCAAGTGGTAATGTGCCGTTTTGCAGCGCCAATGAGCTCCAGACAGCTTGGGCGGGCAATTCAGCGAGCATACGAGCGGCAGTCGCTATCGTCACCCCCCGTGCCTTTTGAAGCTCTGGCTCATATAAGCTCCAACCATCCAGTCCATCTGTCCCTATGTTCCTAGGTGTACCAGCGTGTAGATTTCATCTCCAGTCGATTTCTTTCTCTTGCCTTGTATCATCTCGTCGTGCAAAATGACAGTCGTCACAACGAACCAGAGCCTCTCAAGCGAGTCTCAACGGCTCTGGTGGAAAGAAGCTACGATTTACCAGATCTACCCGGCGTCTTTCCGAGACGGTAATGGCGATGGTCTCGGCGATATTCCTGGCGTCATCGAAAAGCTGGATTACCTTCAGAGTTTGGGGGTTGACGCAGTGTGGCTTTGTCCCAGTATGTTCCTGCATCCACTTGTTCCGAAATCCAAGGAGCCTTCAGCATCACACGAATGCTCAGAAATCTGACTTGTGTGCTCTCAGTCTTCGCCTCACCTCAGGTTGATATGGGGTACGACATTTCAGACTACCGCGCCATTCACCCACCCTACGGAACTGTCGAGCATGTTGAGAAGCTCATCGCCGGCTTGCATGACCGCAACATGAAGCTAATCCTGGACCTCGTCGTCAACCACTCATCTGATCAGGTGGGAAACCCTGCCTTACACCCGTCAACACTGTTGTCGATGCTGACTTGACTAGCACGAATGGTTTCAAAAGTCAAAGTCATCGGTGGACAGCCCCTGGCGGGACTGGTACATTTGGCGAAAGCCTCGCTACGATGCTGCTGGCAACAGACAACCCCCCAATAACTGGGCAGCCGCCTTTGGAGGTCAGTCAAGCTCCCGAAGTTTGGTTGGACATTGGTTCTGACGTGCGGGCTCGACAGGCAGCGCTTGGTCTTACGATGAGACGACCGACGAGTACTACTTGCATTTGTTCGCTCCCCAGCAGCCAGACCTGAACTGGGACAATCCCTCGGTCGTCGGCGAAGTGCACGAAATCATGGACTTTTGGCTGAAGAAAGGCGCTGATGGCTTCCGCATGGACGTCATCAACTTCATCTCCAAGGAGCCCGGTCTGCCAGATGCCCCCATCACCCGACCTGAGCAGCCGTACCAGGATGCAACGGCGCTGTTCTGCAACGGCCCGAGGCTTCACGAGCATCTTCGAGGGCTGAGGACGCTTCTGGATAAATACAATGCCTTCAGCGTCGGTGAGATGCCAGGCGTCAAGGATGACGATCAGGTCGGCAAGATCGTCGCATCTGACCGCAAGGAGCTCCACACCATCTTCCAGTTTGACATGTAAGTGTGCCCACTTAGCATGAACATCTCGGCGTTTAACTAGAGTCTGCACAGCGTCGACATGGACATTGGATCTGGTGGCAAGTTTTCCCGCCACGACTGGACTTTGCCGGATTTCAAGGCCATCATCAACAGGTGGCAGACATTCGCCCGAAGGGTAGGTGGCTGGAACGCCATGTTCCTGGAGAACCACGATCAGGCTCGATCGGTATCCCGCTTCACACGCCACCGGCCTGAGCACAGAGAATTGGCGGCAAAGATGCTGGCAACGCTGCTGTGCACGCTCGGGGGTACCCTTTTCGTTTACCAGGGGCAAGAGCTTGGTATGGGAAGCCTGCCCAAGACCTGGGGAATCGAAGAGTACAAAGACATTGAGACGCAGAATGCCTACCGAGAGTATGTTTAGATGACACCGGGACACCCAAGGCATGTACACTGACTTGTTGTGCAGAGCCATCGAAAGGCTGGCTGGTGACGAGAAGGGCGTTCAGGAACTGTGGACAGAGATCCATCTGAAGGCTAGAGACCATGCTCGTTCTCCCGTTCAGGTACGTCGATATCGACCTGATCATAAGAAGGCATTCTAATCACCAATCGACAGTGGACCGCCTCGGATAACGCAGGCTTTTCGACTGGCACGCCGTGGATGAGAGTGAACGATGATTACACTCGATGGAACGCCAAGGTGGAGGAGAGCAACGCGAATAGCGTGCTTCATCACTGGCGTGCCGGGTTGAAAATTCGCAAGCAGCACCGGGACCTTCTTGTTTACGGGGCTTTCGAGATGCATGACCCTGGGAACCTGTCTGTGCTGAGCTACACTCGGACCGCTGACAAGGGTGGGGATCAGGCCCTGGTCGTGCTCAACTTCACGGACGAGCCCTGCAACTGGACTGTAGCTGCTGAAAATAGAGGACTTCTTGTGGAGGAGAACGTGATTCTATCGACGTATGGGACTCGGGGGGCATCGGGCTTCTCTCTCGGCCCCGATGGGCAGCTGACGTTGCGCCCATTCGAGGCACTTGCTTTTGTTGGAGCCTAAAGCTGTGTGAAAGCAAACTTACAATAAGAATGAACGTGCTGAAGTCAGAAGGATAGCCAAAATCAGACCTGCTCCTGAGAGCCGGTAGTCCATGTGCTAAACCCAAGACCCCATGCCACTCACTGCTCAGTAACCTTCGCCTTCGATGGCCCTAACCTCAAGCGTCACATAACGAGCCCACACTTGGCAGTGAATCGCAACGCCGCCTTTTATCGAGAACTTGCTGTGATTAAGGAATGCGCTCTCCTCGCCCTCACTGCCCCAGGCCAGAAGTGCGGTTGCCGGGCGGACCCTCCTTCGGCACTATCAGTCGAACCGAAGGTCATCCCAACGGTTGTATGAGAGATTCTGTCAGATTGCAAACTGATGGTGGAATATAAACTGTCCAATGACAATGTCGAACACTACTATCCAGCTGAAATTGGTCGGTCCCTGGTTCGTAGGTATCAGATCGTCGGCAAGCGGACCTGTAATCGTGTTCAAATACTAGCATGTTTGATGTAGAACGATCATACCAGCAACGGCTTGTTGGTGACGGTAGATATTGGAGTACATGCATACGGTCAAATACATGATGGATCAGACTACCCGTCCGCCGCTTATTCAATCTTCTTGAAGACACAAAAGATTACTCCAGCAGTGGTTGGATTGACTCCATGAACTTCCCCTTTAGGCCCATTATCACGGAAAGGGGTCGTGCTCACGAATCCCAAGGCACACGCCATCCAGCTCAATGCCATCAACGTGGACAAATACCTCCCCACTGGACCCCCCGAAGCGCAAGAGGTCGCCACCGTTAGCAAGCCTCGTGTCCATGGGTTGCCAGCCGAGTGCTTGCGGGCCGTTGAACGGGTCCTCGGCAAACGCCAGGATGTGGTCCTGCATCGAATGGCTAACCTCAATCTGAAACTCGGTCGTGTTCGCAATGTGATCTAGCAGTCCATAGGTTCCGAAGATCAGTGGCGTCTCGCTGTTGTGGTATGCACCAAGCCAGTCGTATACATTGAGGTTGGGAAACTCGGCCGCGTACTGGAACCGGAAGACGGGCACATCGGGACCAAGTCGGTTTCGGTAGGCCGTCGAGTTCAGTCCTGCGCATGTTGCGAACCCAAGGTTCCAGTCATTGACCTCGTCCTGGTCGACACCGCCTTCGAGGTCCTCTTTTGGCCAGGGCACCAGTGACGTGAACTCGTTGGACGTGAAGGAGATCAGGGCGGGCCGGCGCGCGATCTTGCCCTGCTCGGACCTAGCCGTGTAGTTGGAAAAGATGACACGATCATCGACCATCGGGCCAAATCCCAGCGCAGGCCTCTCCATACGGTCGCCGTACTGTCCGATGAAGTTGGAGATCTGCACCATCGACACCTGGCGCATGCAGTCCAGCTCTGCTTTACCGTCCTCGTCGTCGCAGTCAACGCCGCAGGGCGCCTCGCACCCGACGTTTTGCGCTACAAAGCTAAAGTTGGAATACGAAGGCTCCGCGCCCGCGAAGCTGAAGGCCGTGCCCGACTCCATGTAGTAGGATTGGGCAATGGGGTCCTCGTGGTAGGCGTAGGCATGAATGTCGGCGGCGATGGCTCCAGCCGAGCGGCCCCACTGCATGATGCGTTCGGGGTTGCCGCCGAACGCCGCGACGTTGTCGTGGACCCATTCCAGCGCTGCACGCTGGTCGAGAATGCCCAGGTTCTGTTCGCCACCGGCTAGACCACGGGCTCCAGGGAAGCCGAATATGTTTAGGCGGTAGTTGACGCTGACGACAATGTGAGACCGCGACCGCTCGACCCACGACGTTGGTATTTGCCAAGGGAGGTTGACGCCGCCGATATAGAAGCCGCCTCCGGTCATGAAGAAGAGCACAGGAAAGCCTCCTTCCGGGACCTCGCCTGTCGGCGTCCACACTGCCAGGTGCAAGCAGTCCTCGGATGTGGCCTCGCCCACCAGCCCGGATGTGTCGTTCTGCGCGCCGTTGTAGACCAAGTTCCCCTTGGTCAGCGGCAGGTTCCACATGGACTCGAGTGCTGTCACAAACTGTGGGCACGACGGCGGGTACTTGGTCGCATAGCGGTGTTCGTCTGGTGACGAGGAGAGCTTCTGCGGAGGCAGCCAGCGGCGTGACCCGACGGGAGGCTCGGCGAAGGGAATTGCTCGGAACTGACGCGTGTTGGGGAATTCAGGGTCGATCAGGCCGGTGAAGGTACCAGTAGACGTGCGAACCGTGAGGCCTGTGGTGCCTGGTGAGTCTGGACATTTCGATGCCTGGCAGCCCAGACCGTTGGCTACGAACACGAAGACGGAAAAGAAGGCAATCCTCATTTTGGGCAACAATTGCGAGGATATATCGAGGCACACCTGGGGCGAATCCTAGCTCGCCCGATTGCTGCTTGAGCCTGATTTATGTAGGCTTGTATATCTGCTGTTCGTGGACAGTCCAACCCACCCCCCACGCTTAGACGTCTCTGCTGTCCTGTGATGCTTGAGATGATCCATAGCGGCTTGGCGCGTATGGCCTGTATGTACTGTACAGCAGCCAAATATCGCTGCTAATCCCTCCATAGTACATCATGCCATCAGCGAAGGGCCCCAGTGTAATGGGGGCATACCAGGATAACGATTCGAATGATTCAAATCGGGCTGGGCTTTTAGATTTGAGGCCCCTTGAAAGATGTGATCGATACGCGTAAGCTGGAGAAATGACGATGATTGCAGGGTAAAATGATCCAACCAATTCTGTAAAGGAAGCTCAAGGATCCGCTTAGAGGCGTAAGGATTAGGACTTGCATGTCCAGGATCCGACCTTCCTTTTTTGCACAAGCTGAGAAATGATTCTGTGCAATGGTTCCCGAAGAATGCTTCTTTTTTCTGTCAGCGTATACGAGTAAACATGTAACATTGACGATGAAAGACCATCCACTTGCTACATTTGCCGCATTCGGGGTCACAAGAAGGCCTCTGGGTTATGTTCCATGATTGTCTTGAAAGCTTTGCCGTGTTCTCTCATATGAAAAGGACATGTCAACGTCTTTAAAGACTTTGCAGCGAAAGTGCCTCGATGCAGAGAATTTGGGGGGGACCCTTATGTCAAGGCTCCCGGGCCCCTTTCTATGAACTAATCTATCAAACAACAGCCTTCGGTGGTGTAGGTAGGACACGACTCGGATGAAAATCCCTCTCTAGAACCTGCGCTGCAGCAAGTGAGGCCTCAGCCATTGACTGAGTTCTCTGTTGATCACTCTCGGAGAACTCAGGCCCAAACATTGCCTTTCCCTCAATGCAGCTAAGAAGAGCATCGCGGCGGGGGTGTGGAACGATAATGTCATCCATCCACCTTGTAATTTTGGACTTGCTGAAGGCCTGAATTGCCCCCATCATAGCCATCCGTCCGCCGAGTTCGTAGCTTTTCAGCACGGCATCGATCCCTTCTGTCTGAAGCCATGAGTGGACGAGACCGGACCGCGGAAAGATGTTGAAGACGGCCCAGTGAAGACCAAGGAGAAGCACCAAGGCAACGCCATCCCAGCCTTTCTGGCCGGCGACAAATGTCATGGCTACCAGCTGAACAAGGTTCGCAAACCAGAACCAGGAGGCAGCCATGTCCACGCCCTCGCCGGAAGGTACGAGGAACATGGGCTTGTTAAGCAACGTATCGACAATACCGCGGTCCCCGATCAAAAGGTTCCACTCTGTCGCATTTTGGTGGGATGCTACAAGCATGCAGGCGTCGTGTGCCTCGTTGTTGCTGAGATAACCCGTGGGACGCTGGATCTTGATGTTCCAGGCGACTGCTTGAGACAAAGCCGAGCTGACGACAACGGTGGCCGTTCCATAGGCGCCGATGAGCCCAAGGAATGCGGACAAGCCCAGAAGAGCTATAAAAGATAAAACGCGAAACCAGGTCCTGTCTCCCAGCTTGATGCAGATGCCCAGCAGAGTCCGAGCGGTCGACTTCCTTCGGAAATAGAAAACATTGAGGACCTGATAGCGCCTCTGAGGTATCTTATTTGGTGTGACAGGATCTACGGTCCGGAAGTGGCTCACGTGTGACGTGGATGACGCTGTTCTGGAGGAAGAACTCTTGTCGTTGTGGGACGCTGACGCTGTCTGTGCCTTCGCCTCTACTGGCACCGCCGCAAGCTTTTCGGGCATGACCTCGCGCCTCTCCTTTGAGCGTCCTAGAAAATATCGCATGACCGCTGCGCTCGCAGCGCCGTTCGCACAGGGAAACACGCTGCCCCATGAAACGTCCCATACCGTTGTGCTGGAACCGCCTCGGGTGCTTGCATAGTCGAGAAATCGCGTGCCATTTCGGAGCAATCTTGAGTAGCCAGAGAATATGCCGAGCTTTGGAAACAGACCAACAGGCAGTGCTGCCATCAAGGCGACATCGCCAGTGGTGAGATAGTCATCACGCTGATTTGCAAGATGGGTGACGAGAGGCAGAATTGCGCCCCACTCCGCGACGATATTCGGTAGAGGGGGGCCAGGGAGGTGTGACGGAATGTTTAGCGACCCTAAGCTGGCCTGTTCAGGCGAGGAAAAAAGTTCGGAAGGCATGACAAGATGCCGTGTTTGAAATGACGGTGAGGAAGCTGTTGGTAGTTGGGAACGAGGAGTCCCAATGACACCCACCGAAGCTATTATGTACTCGTCTTACGGTCAGATCTTACGATCGGGAGAAACAGACTCACGGCGGCCTTGTTCGTTTTCAGGAGATCAATGATGGCTGTGTCAGATATGTAAAAAGTCGCTTCGAAGACCTCTGAATGGGCCCCTGTTAAGGCTGACAGAGTGAATGTCCAAGGGGCACTACCCAGTGAATGCGTATCGCATGATATCAACCTCACGCACTAACTCACAGCCGCGGATGATAATTGAGGCGACGAGAGGCTGTGCAATGGCCAATGGGTCGTAAAGGGGACTTTGGTACTGCTTTTCATGCAGCTGGCCCCGCATATTCCACGGATCCTTGGTCTCCTCACATCTCACGATGCTGAGCCGTCTTACGCGACCACCAACCACCCACATAGAACCACGTGGAAAATGTATTTCGTGTTTGACCACCCTGCGCAAGAGTCATTATTTCCGTCTGCAAATCAAACCTTCTTGCTTTCTTTGACTATCACTGGATTCGGCTCATCAAGATCACAAACTCGGCATGAACCCTGACCACAGCATGACTGGGGGCTTGTACCCGGACGCAGATCGTGTCCGATCCATCCTGTGCGGGGAGTATTCTCACTACCAAACCAGCGACTTGACGGATCGCTTCTTCAGATGGGAAGAGTTTCACACAACAAACTTGACTATACCCGCAACAGAAGAGGGCAACCCTCCTCAGGTGGTCCTGAAGTACTACAGCGCCGCAGAGCGAGATTCGTTGATTCGAGGAAAATGCCAGGAACTGTACGATGCGACAGCCAACCCTGTGGACCACATTCAAAGGCTGGATCAACAGCTTTCTAGCTATATCCAGTGCGAATGGCGTCCCCAAATCAGCTTGGACGATTTCGTCAGCGGGGTTGTCGCAGTTCTGCAGCGGCTACCGAGCGAGACCACTACGCTCCCAGATAACTTGGACAATGTTCCCCGACCATATTTCAGCGACGAAAACAAGACATCGCAGTCTCTTCTTGTCAATCGCTGCATTCCTGAGAACGTGATCCGATTTGCGGCATACCAAGTCATGGTCCAGGCCCAGGACGGATTCACAGATAGAGAGCTCCAGGATGCACTCAACGGAACAGGCGAGCTTATACACACTTGCGTCACGTTGGAGGGAGAAGAGGTGGGAGATCCGGTCATCTGGATCGTTGTAAGGGCGTACCTCTGGTCATTCTGGCAGCGTGCGAGGTTGCTATACCTCAGTTGCTTTCTCTTGCAGTCCATGAACCGAGGATTTGACCATGATTCTGAGAGCGCCTACTGGAGTAGGAACTTTCAGGTTTCTCCTGGTCTGTCTCTGCGGGCATTCACCGAAGAGAGTGCGGCGCTGAAGAAGCGACCCAACATGTGTGGATGGATGTTTGAGCTTCTTCGTGGCGACCCAAAATGCACCGGCCTGGATTTCGACCTCCTTCATCATCGCTTCAGCGAGGCCTTCAGAGACAAGACACCCCGATGTCGCGCCGATAGGGAGGCAGCTTGCTCCGGTAATACCTGGCGAGATTGCCTTCGTTTCGACCGTCCTGAGCCAGCAAACCAGACGGCGCACGATCAGACAACACAACACACCCCTGACAATGAAGAAAGACTCGTATGGAACGAAACGTCATACCTCAGTGTTGACGGCGCTCGGGCTGTCTCTATTGGGCTCACTGATCAAGAGTTGAAGTATTGCGAAGCATCAAATCGAACCATGGCTATATCGCATGTCTGGATCCATGGTCAGGGCGGCCGTCCAGACGTCGGCATCCACAGATGTCTTCATGATCGATATGTGAGGCTAGCCAAATCTCTCGGATGCGACAGCTACTGGATTGATTCGGCGTGCATGTGAGTAACCCGGTGAAGTTTCGTGTTTCGCCTCTTCCCTTGTTTTTTTTTTCCGGTCTGGAAAATTTCACAGCCCTGTTGATTGTCGTGGCTGACGAGCGTGTTCCAGTCCTTCTGATGAGGAGCTGCGGCGAGAAGCCATTCGCTACATCAATGATGTATTCTACAAAAGCAAGTGTGTCTTGGTTTGCGACAAGGATATTATGGACCTTGACGCAAGTGACCTGACGACAGCACGCCAAGAGAGCCTCGTTGCAGCTGTCCTGTTCTGTGACTGGAACATAAGGGCGTGGACTATGCTCGAAGCTCTGAAGGGTCGTGGCCATATCAGTATTCTGTGCAAGGATAACCGCATCATCGAATTCGCAGATGTCCTGAGGCACGTGTGCGATTACGGCCGGATCGATCTTGCAGTATTCTCCCTCTTGCTCCCGCACACCATTTCATGGCGAAAGGAAGGCATGCAGAAGCTCAAGTCTGAAGTCTTTGCCAATGACCTACCCCTGGAGATTGTGGGTTCTTGGTTGAGTCACAGGCCTGCGAGTCGCGAGTATGATGACGTTGTCATCTGGAGTTTGTGTTTGGGCCAGCAAAGTCAGAGAGCAAGGCACCCGGATCAATTGTGGGAGAAGCAAAGCCAGGTCCGTACGGGGTTCCTAATGTCCAGCGCCCCAAGACTATCGACACCAGGCAGGAGCTGGGCTCCCAGCACAACGTTCGCCTTTTCTGACGACGTGAATGAGAATACCAAGGGCATCCACCGTCCCTTTGACAGCAGTTTCACAGCCATCGCCACAGTTGAACCGGAGGGGATTTGGGCCAGGTGGTGGGTGCACGAAATCGAACAAGGCTGTCTATCCAAGCTGCTGGGTTACTACAAAGACAGCGTCGCGACAGAAAGAGAGCGCAGAATGAGGCGAGAACTGGGTCGTGTTCACAAGGTGCTGAATCTTCACGGCCGTTACCTTGCCCTATTGAGGCCGATGTACCTCAGCGTTGCCACTCGTTTTGACGGTGTCCAGCAAACACAGAGCTACGCGAAGTCGGGCGTTTTGCTAGCTGTGTGTGAGTCTGAAAAGAAGGAGGAGAAGGCAGAGCCGGGCAACTATCGCTTGAGAAACTCGCCGTCGTGGAAGTGGATCTGGCGAGGTGTCTATGAGTGGCCATCTGATGTTGACCTACCAGAGTTCACTTTGCACCATGGGCTGTGGATTGCCTAAATGTCGCTTGCTATTTACGAGGCCATGTCCTGACTGAACAGAACGTTCAATCAATATGCTGCATGTTCGCGATATATAGTAGCCCAAATTCCTGTCCAAGCCTAGTAATCATTCCGATGGAGGGAATGGGGGCGTTATAAGGGCAGTGCATGAAGAGGTCATTGGCACGACATCGATGGCGAGATATGCCCCTCCTCACATTCAAAATTCATCGATATCGGATGATGAGAACTGAGCCTCGCTGTCAGGGCGTATCTACAGACAAGTGGCAAGTCACAAAGGGGTTTTGAAGCCTAGCTGGGGGTTCAAGGTTGCGGAGATGAAAAGAAAAGGGCTACGCATGGCCCTCCTACCTGCGGAGGGCACGATTATAGACTTATCCCTCTACTATATCTAGCAATCGACTGCGGAAGGTGCCTGCGGAAGATCTCTCTACTCTGCCCTCCCCTTCACCACCAAGCCAAAGCCAACTGCCAATGAGTAGGTCTCTGGAGAACCTGCATGTAGACACTGTCGCATACCTAATGATGACTTATCCCATTCTTCAATGAGATACCCTGTCATTTTACGACCACATGACTTTAGGCTCAGGGTGTCTTCGCGCTCGGGTGACAACTCCCGATGCCACTTAGCTAATCGATGTGTGAATCATCTCCAGGGCTTGGTGGTCCTGGACTGCTGAAACTTCTGTCTGAAAACGCGTGTATTTTGGGCAGCAGTATTCTATCGCAATCGATCGGAATTATCAAAAGTAAGAAGGCAGCAAGGAAGTAGAAGGTGTAACTATCACCACAAGTCTACTTGCATGCTTGACCGTAGCCTGCGTGCGGCAGGCACAGTCAACTAGGTACCAGCATGAGAAAGAAGGCTATCGGCGGCAGGACCGGTTCAGAATAGATCGATTAAGAGAAGCAGGGACAATCACATTGTATGCTGTGAGTTTGCTAGTAGGGGAAGAAGAACGGAGGTTGTATGTAGAATGACCCTGGGTCAAACATTTTCATCATCGTCATCACTACTTTCCTCAAGGTAGCTGCGCATGTATCGGGTGGACTTGCCCAGCTAATGTCCAAAGGAAGCAGGTAGTCCGCCATAGTTGTTTCCATTTGTGACAACCTCGTCAAAACGCGATTTCCTCAAATGCGTGCCCACAAGATTAGGGGAAGGATCGTTCTGGGTAGAATGTTGGTCACACTTTAAAACCAACTCCAACAATCATGATACTTCTTCTCCCATTCCCAACTCCTCCTCCAGTTCATTGTTTTATTCTGCCTTCGTTTTCTTGTCATTTGCAAGCTCGATCTCGACTGTTCTGGCTGCAAGGCTCTTCGAGCAGGGGACCGCGGTTTTCTTACGCATTGCCACCTCAAACGACCTATCATGGCAAACTTTGGACGCTGCCCACGGTTTGTTAGCGTGATCACGGATTCTTCCAACACCGTCTTCCTCGGACAATGCTTCATCTATCTTCATTGCACTCGGTTTTCTTTGTTCTTCAGTATCATATCTCGGTGTCGCTGCTGGAAGCCCTTCTCGCTTGAGAGGTTGACAGCGGTCGGTCGCCTCAGACCTCCACGGGCAGTTGGCCTTTGTGTTCAGTCTCATCATTGGCAACAATGAATGATCCCTGCAAGGTGGGTGGTCCCCTCATGGGGAAATTAAGACTCTGAGCGGGCTTGGAGCCCTGTGATGATCAAATGATCCCTTCCTACGGGAATGAGACCACCCACGTGTGTCAGCCTCGGCTGCCCCCCCAAATATGGAATTCTTTTCAAGGAACAACGACAGCCTCAGTCCGCTCGCGTAGCGGTAAACTCGCCGTTGAAGGTGAGTTCTCTTCCACTGCGTCGAAGTTGGTCATCACTGGTTGACGCTGTCCTATCAGGCGTCTCGATCGCTTCTCGTATCCTCTCCGTCGTCGAAAACCGCACTGGCATCAACATGACTTCGTCTCTGCCACAGCCAGAGAGCAAAAGTTCAAAGAGTAAGAAACCTCTCTGAGCGGCACGTCGAAAACCATTATGCCACAACGCGGCATCAGACATGCGAAAGGTCACTCACCGACAACGGGATGCCCTGGGAGTTGGCTGGCAAGGATTGATTGCTCGTGGATCAACGAAGAAAAAGCATCCCAGATAGGACGATGCGATGCATATCTGGGTAGACGAGGGCTGTCATGTTGTTGGGTGCCCAAGCCAGGCAGATTTGGTTCTGGTCGGGGAGTAGCAACGGAAAAAGAAGAAAGAGGCAGAAAAGGAATACGGAGGGCTGCAAAGCACAAATTTATACAGATGAATCTTGAAAAGCCTCGGCATCAAACTTTTGTTGCACAAATCATCAGGGTGTTAATGGAGGAACTCAGTTCAACGTCCAGAGAATGGCAAGAGCGGCAAGAGTGGTGGGCATGTGGGGCATTCTCAGATCATCACCTTGAGCCATAGTTTGGTGCAATCGGCCTTGCGACGTCCCGACATGGGCAGAGGTAATACATCGTCGGTAATAGCAGGCCCGCAAAATCCTTATCATCGTTCAAAATCATCGGGTGCCTTACGCATGGTGTAGAAAGGGTGACTCCATGCCCCAAGCACCAGACTTTTCTTTTCACGGCACTAAGAGGCAGATATATCATGGTGACATTGGCCACTGGCTGGCCTAGGAATGATACATCAACTCAGACGATTGACGCTGATATCGTCAGAGCAATTATATGAGCCAAAGCCTTGCCATTTCCTTGCTCCAGGCTTTTGCAGAGATAGCTTCAGGTCGGTTTAGCGGTACGAACACTCAATGATTGGGGAACGACCAGTCCCATATCCACGATTGATACATCTCTTGGAGCGGACCAACTCCCCACCCGGCTTGTGGCGGTAGCCAGGATCCCGACGCATCAGATAGCTCACCCTGCAGATTATTTCGAGGTGAGTCGTCTACTGTTCCAGCCATGCTATGGACCCAATCTATCTGCCGATTTGTATCACCCATTCTAGACTGCGTGTTGATGAGCCATGAGGCATGGCTATGCATTTCTGCAAGTTCATTGTGGGTGCCATCACGACCGGAGACAGGCCCCTGGGGTTCTGTCGACGAGGTTTCTCGGTCTCGGCCGACGGCTTCTGAATAATATTCTGGGGGCTCCCCAATGCACCCGGCTTGTTATGTGTCTCGCTGAGGTCGAGTCCAGCTGGATCGTCAATCAGAGCTTTGGTCTCCTCGGTGGCAATGACGTGCATCAAGTCCGTGAGAACCATTGTCATTTGACTCCACACGTGTGATCTGAGATTGCTGCTCTTAGGAATCTGTATGATCCTCGCTATGCCGCGCTTACTCTCTTGGCCTCGAGCAGACAAGGGGCTCAAGAGGGCGAGCAGACCAAGCATGACGCCCGCGAAAAAGGCGTGCACCCCGACATGAATGGCAGGGAAGCCGAACTGAAAGAGGCGCAGAAGATCCGGACGCTTGACCACGTCTGATGTCCTTGTTGCGGATGTCCAATACTGCTGCTGAGCAATATTGATGAACGCGCTTGGCACATTGGCAAAGGTAGCTTGCGTTGCCGGCGCTGGTGAGTTTGCTCGCGTAGAAAGGCGCGACCTCGGTACGCCGCCGATCGATATCAAGGGACGAAACAGGAGAATTTGGACGTTGTCGTAGGACACTTGGAGGGTAAGAGCCTGTAAGGCGAAAGTCCTTTTCAAAGCGGCGTCCTCGCCGTCCTCAATGGTATTCGGAGGGTGTGACTCTGATCTTAGCTCGGGGGGGGGGGGGGTAGACCTTTCCCAGGCCAACAACCTCTGGTGGAGTTTCGATATCGACTGACAAAGTTCTTCGGATCCATTGTGCTGAGTAAAGTGGATTTGGTGCATGATGGAGTTTGCAATTTTGTACATCTTAGCCTTGAACCTGTTATAGGAGCCGACTGTTACGGGTCTGGACTGCCCGTCCTCGTATATCTCAGTTGACCCAAACTTCGGGCACTGCTCAAAACTATCTTCAACGTCGAGTGGTTGCTGAACGTGGCAATCGGTCTCGATGAGCATCGGAGGTGTGCCCCACGACATCAAGATGAACCTGCAGCCGGATATTAGACGCAGGTGTTGGATAGGCGCATGTTGACTCACCCTGCTCCAATGAATACAGACCACCAGACGTAGCGTCGCGTCTGTCTCTCGACGGTGTCGATAACGGCCCAGCATTCTTCCTGGTTGAGGCCGATGAACTGAGCTGCGCGGACTGTTGTTCCCATGGTGATGAATGCGGCTCTTGACTGGCGGTTCCACATGTAATACGCGCTCAGCAGAAACGATTACGAAACTGTGTCGACGATGATGAGGTCCATGGATGGGAGGTACCATCTTTCGGCTGCCAATATCATGCCCGAAACAAGCTCAGCTGAAGCCGCTTCCTCGCGACTCCCTGCTCGAGCGCCATCGGGTTTGAACTTGGCACCGATCACGAGCACGACAAGCGCCAAGAGAAGCAGAGGCCGCTGTTTCCTCGACGCAAGCCCGGACTCTGCTATGGGTAGAAGTCGTGTCCGGAGAGAGGGTTCGTGAATTATGCGGATGTACCAATGTACCGAGTCATTGTAAGAGTCCAATAAAGAATTGACTACCTCTGTTGGAGGCAGATCAATACCCAAGATGTCAATGACGGGGACCAGCTCAGATTCTGCCTGGGTATGTCCGCGACTGGGAGAGTCTGTCGAGGGCAAGGCATCAACCTCGCGCATTCGACCGGACGCTGCGATTTGGTACTTCTGAAAGATCTGAGAGAAATGTCAAACCAAAGAACCAAAGGCCTCGGCATGTCGTTGCGCCACAGTTGAGCTTGACGACAGCACGAACCTTTCCCACAAGATGTAGTGCGGACGCGCGCTGGTCAGGTCGGACGACATCATTTGGCTGTGCATGGGTCGCTGTAGAGACCTTCAGCCTGCCCAACTCCACTGCATCTACAGTATGGGGCTGCGTAGAGGAACACGGCTCGTCAGCTACTCTCGGCCGAGCGTGTCGGGCTTGGTACGCTGCACTTTTGGGCCGGTTGGATCGCCTGACTCCATGTCATCAGTAAATCGGTTATCAGTAACGTATCTCTCAGCCATTATACTGACCACGACCGTTCACTTGCCTCCGTAAATTGTGCACCAGCCCGTATGCACAGTGTACACGGGCGCTGGCAGTCGCACTTGGTGCTCACAGGTCAGCCACGACCAAGCCAAACTTCCAGCAGCTCAGGAATAGATTAAGAACTCTCGGTTTTCGTCGGCGAAACTGACTGCATGCGTGCCGAATCCTCTTCGGCTCCATCAACTGAGATGCTTGCCGGCCGGCTCGGGTAGTCGGGGCTATATGGTGAGCGCGAAGAGGAAAGCCGTTCAAGTCAAAAGCTGAGGGGATGCGGACGGCTCAAGTATTACCTAGGTGCCTGCATCAGGTAGGTGCCTTCAGGGGTAACGAGAGCCGAGAGCCGCCGGCTCTCCTGCCCCACCTTCCCAAGTGAGTGGCTGGCGGGGCAGGCGGGGTAAGGGTCGATCACCGGTCTTGTCTGATCAGGACGGCTCCTCTTCCTCAGACTCTATTAGCATTCCTGCATAGTATACAGGATGGTGTCTGCTGGTTCGGACGCTATAATTCGAGTCTGTTGCTTGTTCGAGTCGCTTGGCGGGAGCTGTCTCATGCTTGCGGGATGGGGCAAGCTCGTCATGAATGCACGGTATCTGCCTGACCTGAGCTCCTGGCACGACTCCCGCATCCAACCAAACGCAGCTCCGGTTTACGACTGAACACCAGAGAAAAAACGATTTGAACAAGGAGCTGAGGGGAACTGTTTTCCAAGATGACAGGAAGTCCTTTTACAATGCAACGGTCGACTTGAACTTACAAATGTCGTCGATTTGTTGACACTGCTGTTCGGTAGGTTATCCCCACCACAGAGGAGGTTGAGGCAGCAGTCTCATACTGTGTCCTGACACAGATTCAGCCGAGCTTCCGTCAAAGGATGATACTATCCTTCACGTTGAAGCGAGTAATCCCGACAATCGTCTGAGCAAGGCGCAAACCGCCACCCTCACGCGTATCGCACACATCCTCCGACACGACTTCGGCGTTGGTGCCTCGATCAACGGTCAAGTTGTGGTAGTCTGCATCTCTTTCGGAGAGGTCCTCCTTCAGGTGGTGACCCCTGGATACTGGCAGAACCCCACGGCGACAGTTGAATCCTTTACCAGATGTGGTGGCTGGTTCAAACGGGCGACATTGGGACCCGGAAAAACAGCAAATTCTACATTGTCGACCCCAAGAAGGTATGCAATTGGTTACTTTCACGCTTGCAAATGGCTGATACCTTGACTTCTAGGAGCTTATCAAATACAAGGGTCTCCAGGTTGCCCCAGCCGAACTTGAAGCGCTTCTCCTATCCCATCCGTTGATCCTAGATGTTGCAGTTATAGGTGTCGCCGTGCCAACAGAAGAATGAAACCAAGTCCCTAGGGCATACATAGTGACGGATGTCAACAAGATTTCCGAGGGCGAGGTGCAGGCATCTGTCAAGCGCGAGCTGGCTTCGTATGAGCGGCTTCGGGGTGGCGTGAGCTACGTCAAAGCTATCCCCAAAAGCCCCACGGGAAAGATACTGAGGAGAGAGCTACGTGAACTGTTCGAGAGGGAGAGTTCCCTTCCAGCTAAGCTGTGCATTCATACAGTTGCATCTGCGTACGGCTTTAAGGCCAAGTTCATGAAATATCTTGGTAGACGGCGAGTTCGCAATTGCGCAATGACATATCGCGTATGTTATTTCGCTCGAAACCAGACTCGAGAACGCGCATGGAGTCATTGCATTCGTTATTGCTAAGCTACCAGACCAATCTCGACAAATCTATCGTCCAGCGGGTAACCACAAAACACACCAAGTACGAGAATTGTGCTAAGGCGCCAACCATCATAAAGATCACATCCGTTGTTCAAAGCTTTCAGCACCTTTAGCTTTCCAGCTGATGATTTCTATGAGATACTCGCACCTATGAAGACCCTTGCATCAATGGCGGCTTCGGCTGCGCAGTCAAATGCGCCAACTTAGCGTAGCTGACCGCGCTGATATGAGACCGGACGTATCTGATTGCAACGTGGGATGCAATCTCATCATTGCCAGTGCTAGCGTCGTACAAAAGGAGTGTTGCCGTCGTAACGACGTCGAGGTGATCCAAGAGCCACCGGCCACTATATTCCAGCAGTGCCCCATCTGCTTTGATACGTAAAATCAAGGCAAGGAGAGTCTCGAGTCTTTCGGTAATAGCGATGCACTCATTGGCGAACCTCTTACTGCAGAGGTTGAGAGTCCTCGTGGTCCAGGGGGCAAAAACATCCTCGATAATGCGGCCTCCTTGAATGCGTTTGTCTCTGAGGACCCGGCCAACGTTATCTGCTATGACGCTCACGGTTCCCTCCTAGATTGTTTGCACGACCGAGTCGCGGAATATCTTGGCCAGGTTCAATATGCCTCCATCTTCAAGGTTTTCGCAATAGCCCACACCGCCGAGGCAATCCATGTTCGCGCGAAGCCCAGCTACAGCTGCCACGCTCGTCTGCGCCTTGATCACTGGCTCCAAAAGTCGAAGAAGAAGCTTTGCTGTCTCGTCGTTCGGGATGAGTGCAGCGGCTGGCTTGTTTCTCATGACGCTGCTGCCCTGTTCACTGCAGCCCAAGAGGGCCACACCAAAGAACGTAAGAGCCGTGGCCGCTCGGTACTTGACAGTCTCTCCAGCCATCCAGTGGCTGTGCTGCAGGTTCTCATACAAGTAGGCACCCCGGACCTTTCGAACCTTGGTGTGCGCACGGCAGACCGCGAGGCCCCGCGCCCCGCGCCCAGTACGAGACACTGCCAGCGCCGGTATAGAGGCGCGTGATGTTGAGGACAGCTGAGATTGCCTTGACGCCCTTGCCTTCCTCTCCCACGAGCCAGCCCCGTGCACCCTTTAGCTCGAGCTCGGCGGTCGGCAAACCTTTTGTGCCCATCTTGTTCTTGAGCCTTTGGATGCGGATTCCGTTGAGCTCAGAGCCTTTTCCTGCCTTGCGGCGCATGGGAACGCAGAACGCACTCAAACCTTTCGGCGTCTGAGCCAGAAGCATGGTCATATCTGAATCGGTTGCGCTGCTGAACCACTTGAAGCCGTCAATGGACCGGGGTCCCAAAGGCTGTCCAAGAATGTCTTGGCCGCGGCCGACAGTGCCCCTGAGGTTGGTGGGAGTCAATCTTGTGGCTATAGTCTCGGTTCCTCTAACATCGCTTCCTCCTGATTTCTCGGTCATCCACTGGCCGCTAGTCCAAGCTTCAGACGGGTCAGACGAAATCAGACGTCGGTAGTATTCACTGAGGACTGCGCGGCGTTCCAATTCATCGTCATCATCGTCCCCAATGTGATTCGAAATGAAACGGGCAGACCCATCTGTCATGCTCATCGGGCACATGGTCAGGGTTGACGTGTGGTGCCAGTTGTGATTCATGAGAAACTGATGCACGCGACGATTGTGGGTGAACGTGGACTTGTCGTAGCCCAGCGAGACAACGCCCGCCTGGATTCCGATGGCTTTCAAAGCTTTCCAGCCGTGACATAGGACAAGAGGGTCGTCTCGATTCAGCTCGCCAAAGGTCGTGAGCGGCTGCAAAGTCGGCGGTACTGTCTCGGCCTCGACAGCGTGCTTCAAAGTGGCGGGCTCCGGCACAGTCCGTGAGATTTCGTGCATGGCTTTGCCCACGACTTGCTGGCTACTGTCTGGCAAGTACAATTTCGTAAGTCGTGTGAGGACAACATCGTCCGTGACCTCATCATGAGCATTTGCGAGCTGAGGGGACGTGTATTGAGGGAGAATGGTGGGCAATTGCTGGAAGAAACCCGAGGTAGCCGACGACGCAGTAGGGACGCTTGCCATGGTTATGGTCGCATACCCGTGTTGGAAATGAAAGACCATACAAGACCCAAGTATAGACAGGTTGCTGGGCGTTCAGGGGGTTGTTGTTGCTGCTGCGTTTGAACCCGAGATCAAGGGGTGGATTATGTATCTGGTCTCATTGTCAATCTTGAGCCATACGAAAGCGTCTTAAGAAACCGAAAGCCACGGTCTCCAGTATTCGATGCCATTTCCAAATCATTCATTGGGATGGTCAGCTGGCAGAGCTTGTGATCGTGGCAATGAAAGCAGGGGTATAGCCAATGCTTGAGCCGGCGGCTCACGGCTCACGGCTTCTGACGACTTGCAGCTTCCCACCGCAGCGAGAAGTTCTGCGTTTCCATGTGACAGCGCTGTTACCATCACAGACTATTCTTGGAGCGATTGATGTGACGTCCACCGAACACTTTGTTGGAAAGACTCGTAGAGTTCATCGCCTGTTCTGCACCACCAAGAAATTTGTGTCAGAGCCACGCTACCTTTGATCAACAACTTCGAGAGGAGTGCCATCAGTTTTAGCGACAGCCCATCGCTTGCCAGATCATTGACTGTGGAAACTTTCAGCGACGACCCGACTAGGAACCCGGCGAATGCGTCAAGTCACACAATGGCGAGCTCGATCATGCATTGTGGCTTGCTAATGACAAAGCCAAGTTGCCTGTTTCGGAGCAGGTCATTGTATATGCTCATGGAATGCAGGAGGGTGCCGTATGTTCATATTTGTCTGCATTTGCAGTGCATTGGATTCTGGCGAGGGGTGGTGAAGCGCGGCGCAGGAACATGAACCGACGGCGTCTGCGCATTTGTCCGGAAGCAAACGTCTGGGAGCAGATGCCTGGTGAGGTGCAAACTGGTTGAAATGCACATTTGGTCGTATAGCTATACTGAATTTGGAGCAATACCCTCGACATGACATCCAGTGGTGGTAAGACATGTTGTGATAGTAGGTGTAGTAAGGAAGCGCCAGGAGCCTTCTCGAGGGACAGTTAGGTAGGAAGTGGGGAATTCATTGGGTAGGCGTTGAGTGCTCTCAAGGTGCGTTTGGGTGGTACGAAAGTCGGCAGGTGCACTTCGCTTTTCAGCTCTTCGTCACCCATAGAAAAGGTCACCGGTGTAATGACCAAATCAGTAATGACCAAATCACAAAGAAAACAGAAAAAGGTAAGCGCTGGTTTCATTCGAGCCCAAGATGTCGAGATGTATGTAAGGGACTGGTCAAGCATTGCTGGGCTGCACCAGTGGACGGGCTACTAACGGCGCCCGTCTCGGTCCGTTTGTTCATTCGATGGTTTCGGCCACGCATGGCCCACAGTCCCTATTTCGTAAGCAATCCAGCGCTTGCGATCCCCCAAAGCCCCCGGAGCCCAGGGCCGCCCCCTGGCCACACCCCCGCACGCCCCTGGAAATTACCGATAACGATAGGGGGAAAAGCGTTCGGTACGACGTTGGTAGCTGCACTCCCCCAACTCCGCAAGTGATGCACAACACAATGGCACGGACGTAGTTGTGTATTTGGGGAAAGCCCGCGATCCGCCTTGTACATAACATAATCTCCCATATCCATGTGGCCAGAGGCTCCGTCGTTGTTGTTCGAGCCGGCAACTGGACACGACATCCTCTTCACAACAACAGACCCGACCACAGATTACAGACCACAGGCCCGACGAGCGAACGCACCCCGACGAGCAACACCATTCGACCACGTACACTACACCGCTTGGCTTGGAGTCGCAGATGGCTGAGGTGCATGTGACGGTCGACACGTTCCTTACCAGGTTGTTAGATGGAGTCTGTCGTGTTCGACCAGTCCCCTCTCGCCGACTATCTTCGAGGTGTGTTTTCTTTTCCTCCTGTGCCGCAGCGCGCAAGGCAGCCGCCAGATCACTGACGCTGAATTCTGTCCGTCGCAGATGAAGGCGAAGATGGCCAGGCCGAGTGGGCGCAAGTCGAACCCGACCTCGACTCCTCACCACCCTCGAGCCCCGGCTTCGCACCGACAGGACTCCCCAAGGTCCGCTCACGATTCCGCAACAAAATACCCGAGCCTCTGAAAGTCGACATTCCGAACCAGACGCCGGCATCGCTCAACTACTTTCGACGAAGCTACTCTGTACGCCGTTGCTCTCCCCCTTGCCGCGCTGTGCCGATGCGGCTTGACTGACACCCGTCTCCCTTTTCCCCCAGACCGCTGTAGCGAACAGAATAGACCGCGCCGACAACTCCAAGTTTATCGAGCAGTTTCGCTATACGATCGTCGCATCCCAGCTCCTGAGCGGACACTCAATTACCGGCCATAATCATGCGGGCTCTCGGCACCTGCCGAACGCGGAACACGGACAGGGGGACGGCAACGGCCTTCTGGACTCCACAGGGGCTCTCGGTGCAGTATTGGGAGCCCTGGCATTGGCATTCGCCATCAGCTGGGTTGTCGGAGGGGGGTCCCTGACGAAGAAGCGTCTCGCCGTTCTGCTTGTCACTGCGGCGATCGCTGCAGGGGTTGCACAGGTGTTCATGCGCAGGCAGTGGTTGCGGTACCGTCGCCACCAGGCGTTGTCTGAAGTCACTGCGTTCGTTTCGAACGCCCACGAGTTCGACAGCGCCACCAGCGCGGCCATAGCTCTGATCCAGGAGGTCGAGCTCGTTTCGCGGGGCTACAGGCTGTAAGTGTTGCTTCTTCCGCCCGAGAGTATTCTTTTTTCCCACGAGTACCCGACTGATGATGGGATAGGAGCGCACCGCTGCCGCCGATCAGCCGAATGGAGGACCGCACACAGACGCGGAGGTGCGTGCGCCTGCGCAAAGCCCTCCGTGTGTGTCTCGCAGAAGTCCTTCAGGCGTATGACCAGACCTTTACCGTCGTCAAGGGATTCTCCGAGCAGCTGGATCTGGAAAAGTATTTTGACATTTACGACGTCAGCGATCTGGACATTTCAGATGCGCAGCACGGCCTCGTCGAGAGCGACCCGGAGGACGCGGAGTCGCTGCGCACGCTCAAGATTGCAGCTTCACGATTCCACACCATGCGCAAGATGGCGCTGTGCGCTCTGCTGGCTCTTGACGCCAGTGGTGACAGCAGCGATCTCATGCGTTGGACGACCGCCGTCGAAGCTCTCCGTGCGCTCAATCTGTCTACGTCTTCGAGCTTCGAACGCCTCAAGACGATACTGAGCGAGCAGGAATGTAAGTGACGCGTGAACCCTTGGACCCTTCGGGCTGGATTGACGCTAACTTGTCACAGCATTCCCCACGCCGCCCACACCTAGAATGCCGCTGACACCGGGACGAGAGCGTTGGAGGGGCCAAGTTCGCAAATTGAACTCACTCTCGACGGGCATTCGAGGCCTGCAAGCCAAGCTGCAGCTGCTGAGGGAGGAGTCTGACCGGACACTGAATGAATCCGACGATATTTCCGAAATGGGGTCCAATCTCATGTCTCAATACGAATCAATCGGCGTCGACCTCAAGGCGTTGATGCAAGCCTGGGAAGAGGGCAAGGCGGCTCTTGCCGTGGGTATCGACCGGAACGAGAAACGCCTTTCATCGATGAGTACGCTCTTGTCACCGACGAGCTCCATCAGCGGCCCCACGGTCGTAGAAGAAGGAGGGGGCGCCATGGAAGCTCTCAAAGCCCTCAATGGCGAGCTCCCTTCGAGTCTTGCCAGCAGCACTGCAGATAGCGACGAGATATTCGAAGCCGTGGCCATGCCACGCCCTCGCAGCTTGCTGACGAGAGAAGAACGAATCGTCAAGATGAAGGAGGATCGCGACAGGAGGGAAGAAACAAAACGGCAGTCCGAGGCCAACAGGGGCATGCTCCGCGAGCTCGAGATGGTCATCAACCTCCGCCCGCGGCCGCGCACCAACACAACCCCTTCACGCACGGCACCCTCACGAATCGTTTCCATGTAACGGCCGCCAACCCTCGCCCCCCTTCCTGCAAGAATGAACTACGACCACGAACATCCGCCCGACGGCCGGTGCGGCTGCGGGCGTTTTCCTTCCTCGTCTTCTAATGACATGGCGTTTGTGCGTATGCGGCGTACTTGGGTTTGCTGGTTCGCATTTAATCCGCCCTCACTCATTTGGTTTTCATTGCTTTTTTTTTCTTCTTCTTTCCATGCCATCTCCACCGGATTTTACTGCATTTGGCTGGCCGTCGCTCGTTTACGGCATATAGACTTGGGCGGGATTGGGAGGGCGCGGCATGATGTGACAGGTGTCGTTGATACCGTATAAGGACCATGAACATGGTGTACAGTACTCTGCCTGAAGTGGCGCGAGGCACATGGCCTCTGGGCCCAGATTTTCGTCCTTTGTGTTAGGCAGTTGTCTCGGCTTCGTTGTTCAAAATTGATACTCTTACTGGTTCATGCGCGCGAGGACATCTGGGGTTGTAGATTTGCATGTGACCCGGCAACTGAAGGATTGCTTAAGCGAGATCCGCCAGACAGGGCATATTCAATTGTCCTTTTCGAATTATGCTCGTAAGCGTCTATTCCAAGACCATATGGAAGTGCTGGCCTATTTGTGCATAGCTCCCTTGCTGTCGAGCGGTATCCCTGGCCTCTGGAAAGGGGGGGATTTGCTGGACGTGCGAAGGCTGCCTGGACAACAGTATTACCTAAGCCCCGCCGCGTCTTCAGCCCCAGCTTAACGCGTCGCAGGCCATTAAACCCACATCCATTTCGTGTGTCAATCGCGTCGCCCCTAGAGTGCTTTCTTTTGCATGTTCCGCCCACCCCTCGATTGCTCCTCCCTCCAACAACATCTGCAAGCCCGAACCTCTCTACTACCACAACACTCCTCCCGCCCATTCAGATACTCTTCGATCCGGTCGATCTCTTTGATACCCTTCTTTTTAGCACATCACACACTGACAGTATGGCTGACCCCTCCCTCGACCTACCCCGCCTCGAGCCGGAATTAACAAGTCGTCACAGAAATGTTGGAAGCGAAGCTCGAGCAGGCGGACATCCTGAAGAAGGTAACCATTCGCCGTTTCTCCCATGTGCTTCCCGACTTGCTAACACTATATCTTCCAGGTCGTTGACGCCATCAAGGACCTGGTCCAAGACTGCAACTTCGACTGCAATGACTCTGGCATCGCGCTCCAGGCCATGGATAACTCCCACGTTGCCCTGGTCTCCATGATGCTCAAGGCCGAGGCCTTCTCTCCCTACCGATGCGATCGCAACATCGCGCTCGGCGTCAACCTGACCTCGCTCACCAAGGTCCTGCGCGCCGCCAACAGCACTGACCAGCTCACTCTGAAGGCCGAGGACGCCCCGGACAGTCTCAGCCTCACCTTTGAGAACGGCCAGGACCGTTTCAGCGAGTACGACCTTAAGCTCATGGACATTGACCAGGAGCACCTGGGCATTCCCGACACGGATTACGCGGCGACCATCACCCTGCCCTCCAACGAGTTCAGGCGCATCTGCGTGGACCTGTCCGCTATGAGCGAGTCAGGTACGTGGCACGCCGCCCAACAAAGATGACGATGCAATGCTGACGGCAGTTTTCCCAGTCACGATTGAAGCGAACAAGGATGGCGTCAAGTTCTCGAGCAACGGCGACATCGGCAATGGCGCCGTCACCCTGCGCTCTCACCAGAACGTCGACAGCCCTCAGACCAACGTCGAGATTGCGCTCACCGAGCCCGTCACCCTGACCTTCTCCCTCAAGTACCTTGTCAACTTCTGCAAGGCCTCAGGCCTCTCCACTTCCGTCAAGCTCTGCCTCTCCAACGAGGTGCCCCTGCTCGTTGAGTACCCGCTCACCGGCGAGGGCGGCAGCTTCCTGCAATTTTACCTCGCGCCCAAGGTAAGCGACTCATCCCTCTTGCGCGCCATAGGCATCACCTGACTGACACGATGTAGATTGGCGATGAGGAGTAAAGCTGTAGCACGGTGACGGATGATCTTACAGGCGGCGATGATGAGCAACTGAGCGAGAGACTAAGCGGCCGGCGTTGCATGGGATTAGGATTACGGCGGGCGGCGAAGCCTGCAGCGCGCACACATCCTGGATCGGCAAAATTACCCACATTCTGGAGGTAGGAGGTAGAAAGCGCGCGCTCTCGCCGGTGCTTTATGGCCAGAAGGGATGAATGGCTTCGATGCACGGGACGGACACATGCGATATGGATGATAATGAAAAAAAACTCAATGTTCCCCAACTGCGATGATCCCTTAAATGTGGTGAAACTTTTTGTCTATGAGTTCATGTATATGCGAGCGATTCCCGTCCTCTGGTTGCTGTCCCCTGAGAAGACAAACTCGTGCGAATGCAGTCCGATCAGCCCTGCGTCGATGCGCCTGGTTTCAACTTCGTCGGGTATCAAGACATGCCGCGTCTCCCACAGACCCTCCCAGCTCGTCCATTCCAGCCCGACATTCGGTCGTGTCTCCTCGTATCGAACCGTCTTGTCGAAAGCAGGCTTACGCAGCGCCTGGGTTGGGGTTCATCTAGTTCAGACGTCAGCATTCACCCAGGGGAGGGGCGATTCTTGTGAAGAGAAGGGAGGAACACCGCGGATCGGAACGTACCTTGCGCTTGCCGCCGGGGGCGAGGGTGACGTTGACGAAGCGGCGGGTGTACTGCTCACGCTTGTGGGCGCGGCCCTTGGGCGTCTTGGGGGTTTCAGCCTTCTCGACCTGCGGTGGGCGCGGTTAGCGGGCGGGCGGGCGGTCGAATAGAGGGGGGGGAGTTGCTGTTCGAACCTTGGGGGTCTGCGACTTGACCTTGCCGGCGCGAGCGAGAGATCCGTGAACCTTGCCCATGATTGCGGTTGTGGGTTTGTGCTGTGTTGATCTGCTTGTGTCGTGATGCGCAAGGGGGGTTCGGTGGTGGCGATTGCGATTGATGGTTTGGCGACGGGCTGGAAGTGGATGAGTTGGGGATGCGATTGATGGAGGTGCACAGCGTCGAGTCTGCTGACTAACAGGTCGCTTGCTGTGGCGGCGGAAAGAAGAAGGCTCGAGGGGACCAGATGATCTGCTTCGGGTCTAGTGCGGGGCAGAACAGGTTCGTGCGGTTTTTGGGGACGAGGACTTTCCACTTGGCGGCATGATGGGATTTACACCTGGAATCCCTGGACGACCCCTTGCTACTCTTGCCTGCCTATCTGGCTTCATTTGACGTCCGACTTGTTTCGATAAGTTACCTTGGGAGACCTCACGCAAGGATATAAAATATGTCCAGATCTTGTCATGGCCACTGGTTCGCCCTCCCTCCATGAGGGGTCTATGCTTGATGACGACGGAAATTGCATAAAGGGACTGCAGAACCTGCCACAGTCAAGCATCGATGCACGCGGCAGAGCTTTACCCAGTTCAAACAGTTCCAAGTGCTTGGTGTACCAATACTTTATCGCTTCACGTCGCTTCACGTCACCCAGCAAAGAACTAAAAGCGGCATGCTCCTTTAGCCCTTTCGGGTTTAGAGACGCCCGGCATTCACCCCTGCACCCCTGATGTTAGAGGGGAAAAAGTCGTCACTGGGCTTGGAGGGGCATTGTTAGTCACGAACACTGACTCTTCCGCCCTCTACATGGTATGTCATCTCTCGAGACTTATCTAATACGCCGCTTGACCATTTTTAGACATTGAAGCCTCCATCGCCAGACCCATTGACCTCTCATTCTGCTTCATTGGATTGGTAGGATAGGCAGTGTACGTCTTCGTCAGTTCGGGAGTCAGTAGACTCTTGTGTCACTGCCTTTCAACCCCGCCTCATTCGCCATTTGCCAGCACAACACCACGGACGAAGAAATATTTCTGTAGCTCACTCTACCACCTGAACTAATCGCTGGCTTGAGCATGGCCTCAGAACTTCCCGTCCCAGAGACTCGCGTCCTGGCCGTGGCCAGTCACGTAAGCCTCTTGCCCAGTGTGACGCCTAGGGGCACCATCATTAACAAAGCTCCAGGTTGTCTCGGGGTAAGTCCAGCCAGCTCAGAACCATGGCCTCCCAGGCTTATACTCCCTAGAAATGTCGGCAACAAGATCGCAGTCTTCACGCTGCAGTCACTTGGCTGCGAAGTTGCCGCGCTCAACACTGTCCAGTTCAGTCCGTTCTCCCAGTCCTTCTGGCAACAGTCTCCCGCCTAACCTTGCCCAGGCAACCACACAGGATACCGCCAATGGACCGGCACAAAAGTCACCGCCCAGGAGATTGAGTCGCTTTATGAGGGTCTCAAGAACTCGTTTCTCGACGACTTTGACATGATGCTCTCTGGATACATCCCTGGCGCCGACGCCGTCGCCGCCGTGGGGCGCATCGGCAAGGAGCTCAGGGAGAAGGCCAACGCCCGGTCTACACCAGGCAGCTTCTTCTGGGTCCTTGACCCGGTCATGGGCGACAACGGCAAGCTCTACGTCGCGGAAGAGGTCGTGCCTGCGTACCAGGCCCTCGTCGAGTACGCTGACCTCGTACTGCCCAACCAGTTTGAGGCAGAGTAAGTCACGAACCCGGCGAGACGACGACTCGCGAATAACGCGCTAACACGACACCCTCCTAGGCTACTCTCCGGAGTCAAAATCACCGACATGGACTCCCTCGAGAAGGCCATCCAGGTCCTCCATGAGCGCTACCGCATTCCTCACGTCGTCATTACCTCCGTCAGCATCCCCTCCGCCGACCAGCCGCCTGACCACCTCTCCGTCGTCGGCTCGTCCATGACCTCCGACGGCCGGCCGCGCCTCTTCAAGATTGTCTTCCCGGCCATCGACTGCTACTTCAGCGGCACGGGCGACATGTTCGCCGCGCTCATGACGGTGCGCATGCGCCAGGCCGTGTGGCAGAGCAGCGCCGCCGCCGAGCTCCGCGCCGGCCGCGCCTGGGTCAGCGGCGACGACGTCGATGTGCTCGACCTGCCGCTCGCGAGGGCTGCCGAGATGGTGCTCGCGAGCATGCACGAGGTGCTCACCAAGACGGCCGAGGGCATGGGGGCCGCGGGCCGGGGGGAGGCGGACGAGAGGAAGGCGCACCTCGTCAAGAGCCGGCGCGCGGAGCTGAAGCTCGTCCGAAACCTGGCGAGCTTGAGGGAGCCGACGGTGGCGCTCAAGGCCAAGAGGATATAGAGGGAGAGGAGTGGTCTGCATGCTATTTGTTCCTAGAGTTAGACGTCTCCTACGCAGGGCATAGATGAAAGGAGGCGGTGGCTCATTTTCATGTTGTTCATTATTCATCCATCTATAAATGCTTGTTTGATCGTGTGCCGTCTCTCTGTCGTCGTCCTCTCGACTCTCGGCTGCCTTCCTCCCAGGGTGGGGGCAGGCGGGGACGTCTCTCCTTAGGCATTCTTGTCCAGGGCGACGCCAGTGCTTCCGAAGCCGCCAGCGCCGCGGACGCTCTCCTCGAGCTCCTCTACCTCGACCACTTCGGGAGTGTAGATGCGCTCGATGATCAGCTGGGCGACGCGGTCACCCTCGGCCACCGCAAAGTCGGTGTCGGCGTGGTTGAACAGCAGGATCTTGACCTGGCCGCGGTAGTCGGCATCAATGACGCCAGCGCCCGTGTCGATGAAGTGCTTGGAGGCGAGGCCAGAGCGGGGGGCGATGCGGCCGTCTGCGAAGTGGTTAGCTGCGCGCCAGCGAGGGGTGCGGAGCGGATGGACGCACAGGTGCCCGCTGGCACGGAGATGGCAATGTCAGTGTCCACGAGAGCCTTGCCGCGGGCTGGAATGGAAGTCGCCTTGGATGCATAGACATCGTACCCGGCGGCGAAAGCAGAGCCGCGCGTGGGGAGGCGTGCGGCTGGGGAGAGCTTCTTGATGAGGAGAGCAGGGGCCTGGGAGGACATGGTGGGCTGCGTTGTCGCGGGCGTGACTGTGTGGGATGGGATGGAAGCGAGAGTCTCGTCGGTAGTCTTGACGCGTTTGGCTGGAGGAGATGTCGGAGGCGAGGTGATGTTCTCAGTAGTGGTCATGATGCCTGCGCAAGGTACGGGGGTAAATGGTTGAGGTCGATGGAGGTGGGGTGAATGATAGGCCTTGAGGAGAGGGGGAATCAGGGTCCACGATAATGGCGGTGACGCGACGCGCCTCAACGAGACGCATTGGCCAATAGGGGATTCGCGAGGGTGAACTTGCATCATCCGGCACACATCACGTGGGATGGGATGTCGTTGTTCTTCTCATACTCCTCACATTCCTGTGCTCTATTCTGAGATGACCAAAATGCCCTGCCGAAGCACTATCTCGGCACCATCCTAGTCGCTACCTACCAAATCCGTTTCTTCACGTTGGCCTGGTCTTCGACCGCTCCGAGGCATGCGCCTGTTGGCGCCACTGGACAGGGCCCAATTGCATCAAACGTACCAACTGCTCAATCCATCAGACAATGGAATCTCGATTCTCAACTGGGATCCCATCACATGGTCTGTATGACCAAATCCTGGAGTGCAGAATGGCCGCACTTCTGGCCCCCGAAACCGTGACAGGTATATCACCAACAGTCCAACAGTAGTCTGCCAGGCGAGCACTTGATGAAGCCGGAGTTGATAGTATCATCTCCGTTATAACCAAGTGTCTCTGCATTGTGACGATAAGCTGCCAGCGTCTATCTCTCGCTTCGGTGATGCTATCCATTCCGGTACTCTCAGCCCGGTCTTCTGTGCTTTTTCAACCATAAACGACATGGATTGCAGAACCGAGAAGAAAGAACATCGCCTGAGCAGCCTGATAACGACGACCAATACTGATACGGCCATTGAATGGACTGAATCGCCAATGAAAAATATCCCTTCTACTGCGAATTACGGGTTTTTCATGTCTCGGGCGTGGCAGACGACGACCACGGCAACCGTGACACCGATAGTATGCGCATGTCAGATTACACTGGGAGCAGTCGAGACCGTGAGTCCTTCTACTCTGACTACCACATAAGCCTATCCTCCATCCGGTACTCTTTGGGCAGACTGGACGGCCGTAATGACATGCTGCCAGGCATTTTAACCAGCGTCTGCAGGTGCAAATGTTTACATATCGTCAGTATTCTCACGAACACTGTTTGGCAAGTATCGCTGGTCTTCGCCGCCTGGCTCGGGAGTACGCCGACAACCGGCATCTTACCACAGGGTAGGCAAGGGGGTATCACAGTTGAGTGCGGGCAGACTCAAACTCAGACGCCGATGTCTATCAGTCTAATATCCGCGAACTAGGATAAGCCTCATGGATCTAATGAACGGTTTCGAAGCCCTTGACTTTGACGGTATTGCGTTCTGCCTATCTTTACTCTTATAATCTAGCAGACTTCACATCGTGGGCGTCGAGGAAGCCGTGGCTGTCACACGGGGTGGTAGACCTGAATGATACGCCGTCGAATACCCGCAAGGTTCATTGGGCAGATAACAACGAGGACCAGCCACTCACCACGTATGGTTGCTCGCGCCGAAAGTTACATAGCCGGAAGAGAGGCGGGAGAAACACAGGACCTATAGAGATGACCAGGGTCCGGGAGGGTCAAGATAGCTAGGGATTTCCGAGCAGGAGTTCAGCTTGATCTCGATGGCCGTTACATGTCGGCAGCGATGCGCTGGATCTCTTCCGACAAGTCGCTTGAACAAGTCAAAAGGGACAGCACCACAGTCTTGGTCAGTCGCGTCACCTTACCTCAAAATGTGCCAGACAAGTCATCGCAGGCTTGGGGATCTTGCGTCGGTAGGTCCGACTTGTGTAAATGATTAACCCTCACCGCAGCAATAGACTCATGTCTAGCGCTTGTTCCTGGCGTCCCACATCACAGTACCACCCATGAGCCCTCTTCACGTGTGCGCGATGCTCACTGCGATTCATATGAAGGCCCCTTTGAGTCTTGGCTTCGCAACAAAAACATCGATACGCTCAATAGAACGTGTGTAATGTGCCCTGAGGACGGCCTCGCCTGCACTGCCAGGCCACATGAGAAGTAGAAATATGTGGCGTTCTCTGCGAGGAGCAGATCTACACCCGGCGTGTGCCTCGTGGGCCCATGGGCGCTCTGGGGGCCCCTGGAACAGGCCAACGTGCTGCGCCGATTCGATATTTGGTCGAGCCAGCGAATCACATTACACGCGAGTCGCCAATGTCGCCCTCAGCCTGCATGAACAGTTCACTAGGGATTGTCTCGAGAGCCGAACCTGGGTTCGCCTGGCCAATAAAGGAGATTCTTCGCCATAGGAGAACAGTTAGGCGCATCGCGTCTGCTACTGACAGTTGAATCCGCCTTCTTGGCACATTTGGCACGTCGGGCCCTCCCGTCCGACCGTTCGATCATGATCATTTATATCCACGGATTGTCAGTTCCTCAGGGGCGTCAATGGCTCAGTTGAATACCTTCACATACAGCATCAGCAAACAGAGTGATACAATGTCTTCAGATGAGCAAACCAAGATCTGTCTCGGCGTGGCCGTCGACCACCGAATCCAGCGGCTCTGCAAAACCACTCCCCACGGCCTTGCAGGGGAGTCCGATCACGTTGCAAGCATCAAGGAGGAAGGGCGGGCGTTGAGGCGACCTCGCGAGGAAATTGCCGTCACCGCAGAGCTCGCAGGTCCGGCCTACAAAGGTGGTATCGCCGTCATGCTGCAGCAGCCTCGAAAAACCCACCCATACGACAAGGGCATCGACGCTGTCATCGAGGACTGCGAGAGCCTGCTAGCCCTCTACGAGGTCTTTGATGTGGCGTCCCGCGGCTCCCTCGACATTCGAACCAATGTCTCCGTTGTCGACCTGCTGCCCTTCGTCTCCGCTAGCGTGGACAGCCTGAGCGACGCATATCTCGCCGAATCGTTCAAAGCGTCGACGCAGGTCATCTGCGACAAGGAACCCGATGTCCTGCTGTGCGCAGGCAAGATCTGGCTGCCGAGGGCGGGCAAGTTTGATGATCGCAAGGGAGACGCCTGGAAGTTCGAGAGCGTTGGTCTCGGAACCCAATTTGGCAGCACCCCTAAGCTGCCTATCACTGCAAGGGTTCGGCATGGATCGAAAGGCCTCGTCGCTATCCCCAGGGTGAACGGGTTCCATCCAAGCCACGCCATGAACTACCTCTCGCACGTTAGTCTCCTGAGGCAACTGCAAGTACTGATTGGCGTGGAAACGTGTGGTACCCTCAGGGGTGACTGGGAGGATGAAGAATGGATGGGCGATATCAGGAAGCGTTGCCAGAACATTTCCCAATCACTGACTGGTAAGTCTTCCTTTGTTTCTCGCCTCCGTCAACCGTTTCTCACACGTCACGCGCAGGGCATTCGCCATCCAAGTCTGCCGCACTGCAGAGTCCCGGGCAGAGCTCGGGCAGGTATAACAGGAATAAATACCTGCCCGAGTGGCAGGAAATGTACAGCGACACCCTACTATCTCTGAAGGTGGGTATCACCAGCCTTCTAGCGAACCCCGACATGGCCAAGAAGTCTCCGGAGACGCCCTATCGAATTCTGCTTGCATCTGGTCTGAGCGAGACCTGCAACGATCTGGCCCTGGTCCTCACCCAGATCTCCCGCTGCGTGGAGAGAGGCTGGCCCGAGTCCGTGGCCTGGAAGAACGAGGCCTCACTGAGAGCGCTGTCGTCGGACACGCTTTTATTATCTGAAACGGTACTGAAAGCTGCCAAAAAGGCGCAACGTACGGGATTTGCGGAAATAGCTGTGGTAGGGATGAAGATCATCGCTAGGATCGATAACAAGAGCAGGGACAAGGACGCCGCATACAAGTACGGCATGGATCCGAACGAGCTCAGAAAAAACTTCACGAAGATGGCCGTGCATATTGAGTCTCTACTATTGGATCTCCTGGAGAAAAAGGAAGATGCGCTCAATGCTCTGGGTCAGGAGGATTACCTGTCGAGTTTGATGGACAAAGTGAGTATCACACCCTCGTCAACAAGAAACGAGTATAGAAGGTCGTCGGGGGCTGTACGATCTGGTTGGTGATGGTCATTGGGTTGTTTCGAGCGGGCGTTTACAAATCCTTGACCGTAGTGATAGTTTTGATACCAAGCGTTGTGGGTTGGGAACCGATAGGATTCATTGTGAGGAAATTTGACCCAAGTTGCATTATTTCAGAGACTCCAAGTTCTTTCAGTTGAAGCGTTGTCTTGTCGGCTCCCGCACATGGTGGAGCGGTGTTCGATGCTTTGAGGGCCTTCCTGTCCTTTTCTGTGCCACCGTATTTTCTCGGGAGCAGAGTAGCAATCATGTGAAAGGAGGAAACAGGGTTCGATGCGCCGGACCACAGAGTGAGGTGCTTCGCCCAGCGACATTGCTTTGATATCGATGAATACACAGAGGAATCCCCGGATCGTGTTGCAGTGGCCTGTATAGGGACAGCACCTCACTCGGCAGGAGGAAGCCATAACCTCCAAACCGCCACCAAAAGTATAGCCCGCCGAACTGGCTTCTATGGTGCTGCATACATCAGATACAGCAGTGCGCAAGCATCGTTTCAGTCACCTTTTACTGAAACTGCTTCATGCCCGTGGCTCCTGCAACGCGAAGTAAGGCTTTGATGGTCGATCGTATGCTTAGTGAAGCGACGTATTCGCAGCAGACGAGGATATTTGAGCTCAGTTTCTTCAAATGGTCATGTTGTGACATGCCTCCGTCGCTCCGTTGCAAGCGAGGGAAAGATCCTCGTTTGTGGAGGGGGGCACGTGCTACTGCATTTGAGCAACTCGTCAATCGTTAACCTCTTTCTCCTAGCAAGGGCTACACCCGCTTGGAAGGCCAACAGTAGAAACTCTTCCGAGGGACTATGTCGTGCGTCAGGTGGATTACAATCGCTGTCAGCAGTGTAGCCCTTCAGTCGTCGAGTTCCTTTCCAAAGTCGATTAACCGAATCCTGGTTGCGTCGCGCGGGTGAAATTGCGCGACTTTCGACCGAACCAAGAAGCGTGCAGCCGCAGTTTCTTTGGCGACTTTGACATATGCCGCTGTGCCATCGCCGCCCGACTCGACGAGTTGGTTGAGAAGTTCTTCAGTAAGCTCGCGCATCTCCCGTCCGGCAGCGGCAGTCTCGTTGGGAACGTCGTTCCCTCCTTGGCCGGCGGCAATAGCAGCACCCCAGACTTCTTCTAGCCGTCGCTGCCGCTTGCCCCCGTCGTCAGCATTGGTAGCCTTGAGCTTCTTGGGGCGGCCCTGCGCGTTGAAGCCTGCGGCAAGGTCTTCGACGTCGACATCCATCATGTCTCCAACGACGGGTCCTCCAAGGTCTTCGGCAGCGAGTTGGGAGGCCAAATGTTCATCGATGAACTTATTGAGGTCTTTCAGCAACCGTGACGTCTCTCGTGCATACTGCTTCTGCTTCTGTCTCAACTCGTCCATCCTTTCCCTGGCTGCATCCTCCGGGTCCGTATCCATGTGGTTGGTAAGCTCCTCGCTGAGTGACTCGATGCGCTTCTCCAAGCTCGCAGTCAGCTGTTGCTGATCATTCAGACTGGCCTTTTCGGCTAGGAGCTGGTTGTTAGCCCTCTCGATGGATACCTCTTGGGTAGCAACATATGCTCTCGACTCGTCAACGGTTTGATGTGCCTGGCGGAGAGAGAGCAGGGCCGGCAGCACTGAAGATGAGGCAGGCATGAACGGGGTTTCCTGGAAAACGCGATCGAAGGCCGACTTCATAATCTTGAAAGGCGCGACCCTGGAATTGGCGAGAGTCTGGTCGAGAGGCTGCGCATTGCGTTGAAGCTAGGAATCATCAGTCTCCGTATCATAATTCAACAGAATAGAATGTCACACTGATGCGAGCTCCTGCTGGTATTCGAATATCTGGGCCTGAAGTTCTTGGAGGCTTTGCTCGACGCTCAGGAGGTGCCTTGTCTCCCCTGGACGCGCTTGGGCCAACACCATGGTGGCAGGTTACCAAACTAGGTACCTTAGTCGCGATGGCTTCAGTCGTTGAGCAGCGTCGAAGAGTAATGCAGCCAAGGTGGCGGGGATTTGCGAGGTGCTTTGACGGTTACTGATGTCTCTGGGAGCCCGAAAAGTCATGCCGATGGAGATTTGATGCTGTTGAGGACGGATCTACCCCCCCTTTGTTTCACAGCGATGAGGTAGGTAGTGGGTGATGCGGCAGCCTGAGATTGCTCCCTGGTCACAACAAGGCCAGGGCACAAGGGGAGCAAGGCTTCACGCGTCAGCCGTGGGGCAAACGAACGCCGGGCACTGTACGGCGCGGCACATGATGCACACCGCAACCTCGAGGGAAGCCCCGTACTTGGCTGCATCAGTGCGCCCCTACTGTCAAGGTGTCCTAGCGCAGCACTGTATGGAGGCTAGGGTCGATCTTTTCTCCGGGGGGGTTTCAGCAACCTTCGCGCGCGTCGACCATCTTTTCCCAAACCGCACCGAGACAAATCACCCCCTTCGATTCGAAGCTCCTCGCGCGCTGTCATCCGCAGTCCAAGGTCCCCGACTCCATCTCTTTTCCATCATTTGTGTCTTCTACATCCCATTCTTTATCATCCAGAAGGACCAAGAGTCCCTTTGCTGCCGCCCATCGTCCCTCGAACCCATCTTGTGGAATTTCTGGCGACCACCTCCGCCTCCGCCTCCCCATCCCCCTAGCTCCAAGCTGGCCGACCGCAGAGCTGCAAGCTCGCCCTCCTCCTCCTACCTTACCCAGCCTCGAGAGGAAGCCATCTCCGTCAAACGAGACTCCAGGTGCTGCGAGCAGGCCCAGAGTGCTTTCGCTAGGATTCGCGATCGACTTGCCACGTTCCATCTCTTGAAGGCATACGAGCTGTGTGGGTTCAAGGTTTGAGCATCAACGTTCGCGATCCGTACGACTCATCCTCGTCCATCACTCCTCCTGCTACCTCACTTCTTCACCTCGCCCACCTACCTTTACCTCCCATCTTTTTTTCTCCATCAGAAAACACACTCCCAGGACCTCCTCACCGTCCTCCCAACCTTCTGGACCCTTGTCCTTCTGGCCCGATACTGCTCTTTCCCGACCACAGCCTGATCCCGACCCCGACCTGTCTCCCTCGATCGCACGCACCTGTCCTCCCTCGATCCATAACCACTTCATCAACAGCACCAGCTCGCTCCGAGCACCAGGTCCAATCCATCGCGCCACTACACTTGCCCGTTTTCCTTCGAAAACCGTTGCGGTGTAGATAGGCCAATAAAAGCTGTTCTCTGAACACCTAACTTCCGACGTACTCAGCCCGATCAATCTCGTGTGAGACGCAATTAATACCTAGCCCAACATGTCGGCTTCACCCACGCAACCCGCCAACTCGGCCAAGCGCCCTCTCGAGGAGACGTCTTCGCCATCGCGCAGCAACGATCAGCCCGATGCCAAGCGCCCTGCCCTGGACAAGATTCTGAAGAATGACGACGAGGTCGCCATGGCTGAGAAGCCCGAGGAGGAGGATGACGCTGGCGCTGTTGTCGAAGCCACCGAGGCTGCTCCTTCCGAAACCACCAACGGTGCCAAGGAGGAGACCGAAGGCGAGGCCGCAGACGAGCCGAAGCCCATTGCTAGTGCCGTGGCCGGCAACGTTCCATCGTCCACTCCTAATGCTTCGACTCATGACGAGACGGCTTGGATCCACATTCGCGCCGTCATCTCCAGCCCAGAGGCTGCGACGGTCATTGGCAAGGGAGGCGAAAACGTGTCCAACATTCGCAAGATGTCCGGGGCCAAGTGCACGGTCAGCGACTACCAGAAGGGTGCCGTTGAGCGCATCCTGACCGTTAGCGGCGTGGTAGACGCTTCGGCCAAGGTGAGCGACCATACTTTGATTTTCCAAAGAACTCTCTTGAACTGACTCGAACTGTAGGCTTTTGGTCTGATCATCCGAACCCTGAACAATGAGCCTCTGGACGAGCCGTCCAGTGCGCAGTCCAAGACGTACCCTCTTCGACTCCTCATTCCCCACATCCTGATCGGATCCATCATTGGTAAGGGTGGAGCTCGTATCCGTGAGATTCAGGAGGCGTCCGGAGCCCGGCTTAACGCTTCTGACTCCTGCCTCCCCATGTCGACCGAGCGTTCCCTCGTGGTCATGGGCGTGGCCGATGCGGTCCACATTGCCACATACTACGTGGGAAGCACTCTACTGGAGCAATTGAATGACCGCTTTGGCGGTCCGGCCGCCTCGGCCTACGCGACGCGGAGCGGCGGTCCTGCCGGTGTTGTCCCAGGTGGCATGCAGGTAGTACCGTACTGCCCCCAGCCGACGACCGGCAACTACGGCAACAGGGAGAACTTTGGCAGACGCCATGATGCCAGGGGCCAACATCCCCAGCAGCACCACATGCCGCCCGCTCCCTATGGCCAGCAGTATCCCCCTCATGGCGCCCAGCCCGGCCCCGCCATTCCTCAGCAATATGGTGCTCAGGCTGGCGGCTACGGCGGCGCGCCTATGCAGCCACACGGTGGTCCTGCGGCTCCTCAGCCCCACGGCGGACACCCCGCGCAGCCCATGCACGGTGGTCCCGCCGGCGGCGGCATGGCCGGTCAGCCTTTGACGCAGCAAATCTTCATTCCTAACGACATGGTTGGCGCCATCATTGGCAAGGGCGGCCAGAAGATCAACGAGATACGCCAGATCAGCGGCAGTGTGATCAAGATCAACGAACCCCAAGACAACAGCAACGAGCGTCTGGTGACCATTACCGGCACAGACGAAACGAATCGCATGGCCCTTTACATGCTATACTCGCGCCTTGGTAGGTTGAAGCTGGCAGCAGCAATCCCCACGTCTGAGCTTGTCACTAATCTCGCTGGCAGAATCGGAGAAGCACCGAGTCTAAAAATTTAACGACGTTACATGATATACTTTGGAACCTTCTCAGATCGAACAGTCCCGCTATGGGTCTCACATTGTTCGCAATATCTTGTTCTCGGCTTTCGGTTTTGCTTGGGCTGGTGGCGGCGGTGCCACCAGGATGTCTTGTCGGTTCAGATTAAGAAAAAAAAAGCTCGACATGCGGTACATTGCGATTCGGCGACTTCCGGGTATTAGGCGTTTCTCTGCGATCACTGGATGGAGTGATTCCTAGAGAAGGTACTCCTTTTAATAGCCGTCTTTCTCTCTTTCTAACCCTTTCCTGCCCTGCCTTGCCTTGCGTTGCACATCGTCTCCCATGCCCAGTCCTACTCTTGCACGGGGAAGTACGCCGATTTCCCCTTGCTGCTTGCACTTGTGTTTTTGCCGTGCGCAATTACCGTTCCACGTCGTGAGCTCACCGGCGTCCCTTGATGTTCAAAGTTCATGCAGTACCCTAGTTCTGTCGGTTGTGGGTCGACCCGCGCACCTTATTCTCAAGTCAACCCAGCACAATTTCATAACGCAACATGGACTGAACATCGACTGTTGCTGACGTGATCCAGAGCCGACTTGGCGGCGGCGGCAGAGCGTCGGAGGGCGAACCCCGGAGCACTTGCCGAAAGCAAGCTTGCGTATCACTAGTGAGTGATCCCAGATCGCAGCTACTGACAGAAACAGCAGGCTTGTCAGGGGCATATTGCAGTTAAGGTAGGCGGCATTCGCCGGCGGCAACTGGGATGGAGTACTTTGTGCAGTGATGCAGGGCCACAGGCGAAGTGTATGCAATGACCCGCGTCTTACATGTACAGCTGCTTCAGATTGTAGTGATGCTGTAAGATTTAGCCCCTGTCCGCAAGTATAACAAGCGAGGCAACTCACCAATGTGACGTCCTTTCGCCCCGTCCTGATGAGCTCAATGTTGTCCAGAATGGCTGCCATGGTCAGTCAGCATGGGCATGCGCCTCCCGCGTCCTAACTCGTGACACTAGTCAGGCAAACAGAGACTCACGTCCAGGGCCCCCCTTGGCCAAAGCATGATCCTCCACGCTGTCCCACCCGACGAGCAGCACGGCAGCCGGCCCCGGCGTCCCGTCCACGTCCCTGGCGATGGGCGTCGTGACCTCGCCGTGCGCATTGGCATGCCACCCCCGCGTGCCCTGCGCCGCGCACGCGGCCGCCATGCGCTCGGAGAAGAGGCGCAGGTTCTCCGGGAAGAGCGGCCTGTCAATGTCGTAGGCCGTCATGATCTCGGTGCAGGGGGCCGCCAGGACGGCCGTCGCCGCGTGCGCGAGACGGACCTGGTGGAAGCGCGGCGGGCCGACGAGGAGGGCCTTGAGGTCGGCGAGCCAGGGCGTGTAGCGGTCCGACGCGGCAAAGGCCGTGAAGGCGGCGTGCGAGGTCCAGTGGATGGCGAGGAGGTGCGTGGCCGGGTCCTCGTGCTGCGGGCCCGTGTGCAGGGACTCGACGCCCGGCGTGGCGAGGAGCGTGCTCGCGACTGCGCCGAAGGGGGCGGATGGGTGGGAGGCGAGGTCGCGCGGCGTGAAGGTTACGAACTCGGTGATTGGGTCTGACATTCTAGCGGGGCGGGGAAGCTTCTTTGGCTTCCGCTACGAGGAGAGAAGAGTATTTTTTTGAAGGTCAGAGGAGAGTAAATGGCAGTTTCAAGGAGTGTCACGTTTGATCAGACTTGGGGAACGTTCACGAGGCTGGATGGAAGAGTGCGAGGTCATGTTGACGTTTGATATTGAGTGGTGCAGGTGCAGCCTTAGTCAGTCATGATGCACGATGGGAGCGCGGGGAAGCTCCCACTGCAGGTGGGGCAGGCAACAGGGACCGTACCTTTTAGGTGCCTACCGATCTTAGGTAGGTACTTTCGTTACATGGTAGTGCGGGCATGTAGGTAAGGTGGTTTGTACCAGGACCGGCGATGCATTGGAGTGGTGGAACGGCATAGGTCACGTGGTCAAGACGAATCGTCACGGCACAGTCCCATGCTGACGAAGGGTTCAGGGGCCGAAGGAGGCAGGGCTTCCAATGTTTGATTGCTTCTTCAGCAGAGTCTCGAGGCGAGCCTGACTTTGGCCCTATTGCGGCTGATGCAGGTGTTCGGGATATCCACACATTGAGGGCTGAATGTTCGCGAAGTAACCTGGCAAGCCTGGGTCTTTTGAGCGGGTGCGGCTGATCACCGACATCTGGAAGACGGGCCTCATTCGTCGCCAGACTTGGCAAGACACAAGTGAAAACCGACGAAGTGGAGGGCCTCAATCTTTCCTTCTTGGCCACGATTCGTTAAGACCCACCACCCCCCGACCGCCCACCCCCCCAACCGCCCACCAGAATACACCAAAAAAAGCGATTTCCAGGGGTCTATATCTCCACTAATAATAGAAGCTATGTATCTAGAATCCTAACATAACAATATTTAGGCTATAAATATAATATACTTAAATTCTTATCTTATCTTAAAGCCTATAGCTCTTATTATAAGCTATTTAAATAGCTTAATAATAGATTATATAGTAAGTAGTTTTAATAATATAAATATATTAAGCTATATATTAAATAAGTTTAGGGTTATAATAAATTATAATAAAACTCTAAGAATCTAGTTCTATATTCTTAGCTTATAATACTTAGTCCTTAGTAAGCTACTAAAATAATTAGATTCCTCTATAATAAGTTTTAATAGAGAATCTTAGAAACTCTATATTATAGGGGCTATAAGCTATCTTATAGCTTTATTCCTTTAAAATAAGCTTACTTATAGAGATATAATAATTATAAAATATTAAAAATCTCTTTATATTACTTCTTAAGCTTAGTATAAATTTTAATAGGGTTATTAGGAAAATACTAGTTAAAATAAAAACTACATTTCCAAAAATTATATCTTCTTCTAAAGTTATAGTATCCTCTTAAAACTCTAATAGTAATATATTAATAGCTTAATCTATACTATATAGAAAATCTAGATATCTAGCTTTACTATTAGTGGAAATATAGACCCCTGGAAATCGCTGTTTTTGGTGTATTCTGGTGGGCGGTTGGGGGGGTGGGCGGTTGGGGGGTGGTGGGTCTTAGTCCCGCCACAGTCTGGGAAGCCATCGATGATGGGAAGCGGTTGAGGGAACTAGAGCGATGCAGACACAACCCAACCCACACCGCCAAGCTAATAAGGCTGCATCGACGCAGTGCCATTCAAGCAGCAGCCAAGCCACACCAGAGTGGACAAGCGACGTCTTTGCTACTGCGAGCGCGAACGGATACACGGCAGGGCCGCCTTGGCCAAGACGGCTCAGTTTGCGATGCCAATGGAAAAGCCCACCTGTATGCCTGCTGATTTGCCTACCCCGAAGAATGAGAACGCGGGCAAGCACTGCCAGCTGTTTGCTGCAGGCTGACAGTGACAGGCTTGGCCATTCATCCCTCCGCACATTATGATGGCTCTCCCCACCTTGTCGCATCGTGGCTGGGTAAGGGCTGAAGTGTGCGTCAATACTTGGTTCAGAACCACGCACTTGGTGCCACGCAGCCAAGCCTCCCTTTTTGGCGCTTTCCCAGATCTTGGGCCGCCCTACTGTGTTTCTCTCCTCTCGTCCCGTGAGACCAGGGCCAGTCAACCAAGTCACTGCAATCGTGTGGCTGACGGCAAGAAAAAAGTAAGCACAGATAGCGCCCTCCGCATGGTGTGGTTTCACCGCATGGGGAGCACAGGACGCGGTTGGCTCCAGGGGTCGAAAGAGACTTTGGAACTGCCCCTAAGGCTGCAGTCATGAAGTCGGCGTGTAGGCGTGTGTGTGTTATACGGGCAGTTTGACCAGTCAGTGTCAAAATCGGTGAGACACCATTGGCCTGCCGCCCAGCGGCTGAAGACGGCAGCTCTTCTTGAGGCTGGCTGGAAGGCTCGGCTGGCAACTAAAGAGAGACAGAGATCCAGAGAGTTGGCAGAGCTGCTTCATGTACTGTACAAGTACGGCGCCTATACGACACGGCTGTCAAGGCGCAGAGGCGCAGAGGCGCAGATACTGTACAATCGTTGGCCGTCGAAGCCAACGTAAGTTTCCGAAGGGTGGCCTCGTCAACATGCTGGAAAGGTTTCTTTTACGATTGTTGCATTGAATATGGAGGCGTGCGCAACTGCCGGAAACGCCCCCTTGTGGCGCGCGCTGAGTCGTGCTAATTGATCGCGATGGAGAGCTGGCGTCTCTTTCTTATTTTGGGCGGAGGGCCCGGACCATTTTGCTCGCCAAGATGACGCAAGCCACAAGCGATGCCGCCGCGGCATTTGATGCGCCAGATGAGGATCGTCTGCGTCCATGGATTTTGGGTTTGAGTGAACAGGTTTATTCCTAGCGGGGGAGCTGGGAGTGCTCTGGCGAGAGGAAGAGTCGGTGGCCCATGAATCGACGAGAAGGTGGTCCAGGGAGCATCGTCAGTGGGGATGCTCTCCAACTTCATTTCGGTTCCCCCACCCCATTCTGGCCGTCTGGCCTGCCTTCTGCCACCGCCTCACCCTGGCGCCCTCCCCAATGGCACGGAATCGGAGAAGAGGCTGTGCGCCAGAGGGAGGCAACAGGGATGGAAAGAAAGAAAGAAAGAAAGCCATATGTGACATGATCCGTGGTTCGTTGGCAGGACGGGAAACAGGCCAGGGACCAAAGCGAGAGTCTTGGAAATGACTTTTTTGGTCGTAAGGTGGGCCCACGACAGGCAGGATGCGACAATCCGGGCAAGCAGGCGAAAGTTTAAGTCGGCGGTGCGTCCGGGGGGGACTTGAGTCCCTTGGCCCGTTGCCGTTGCCGATGACTCGGTCACCATTTCGAGACGAGGGACCGAGACTCCGGGTGTTCGGCCCCTGAAGGATGGCAGCTAAAAGGGCCTGTGGACAGCGAATACCAGCAACGGCCAGCAGAGGACAGCAAAGTGCCGTTTCCCAATCTCCTGCTGTGGCCAGGCGGATCGAAGGATGAATGGCCTCGTTGGTAGTCCTGTTTAGGCTGTTCCGTGCATGGTGTGCATGGCGTGCCTGGCCCAATGCTGGCGGTCTTGGTGGGCCAGCTTCTGACTAGGCAGGACTAGAGAGGCACGTTCCTGGCGTACCCGGGCTATGGCAGGCGCTGTTCCCTCAGGCAGTCGCAGGTAACACGGTCGGTCCAGGTAGTGAGCGTTAGGCTGGGCCGACGCCTGAGAAGGATTCCACGCAATGGCATCATCAGCGAGCCGTAGCACCTCCTTGGTGGCTATGACTATGGACACATTCCAGCGGAGGGGTTTGCGCTGCGTGCTGCGCATCTCTGTTCCCTGCCCGTTAAGCTAGAGCTGCCTGATCTCACACCCCCGAAAAAGGCAGCAATAGTGAGGCATCATACGCGCGACTCAGCCCTGCGCCGCCGGAAAGGTGGTCCTAGCCAATCTTGGTCTACAGGACGCTAGAGCCCCCCTGTCGCACACGCCCCCTGCAGCCAACCATGCGTCGATAATCTCGCGCGTTAATCTCCTGGTACCCAGTTCATCATGTGCTTGCGCAGAAGTCAGGTACCGCTGGCGCGACTAACATCGTGCGCACTTCCCTTCTTCGCTTCTCACCCAGCACTGGCTTCCTAGGTAGTCTGGACAGGCTCGCCAGGTACACCATAGAACTGATGATGTCCGCCTGCTCATTGAATTGGCAATGGCGGTTTTCTGGTCTCCACTATCCTTCTCCTCGCCCCACCCCCCGTTCCCCGTCCACTCCTTCGACCACACCCCCCTGCCCTCAATCATTGCGCTTGCCATGGCACTGGCGTAGGTAGGTAGTTTCCCATGACCCAGGGGCAGGCAGGCAGGCAGGCAGGCGCAAGTGCAGGGTGGTGTTGCTCGTGCATGCTCACCTCATCCGCCTTCGCCGTCTCCGTCGTCTCGTCTTTCTATACCCCCCCTTCCCACTCCGAGACAGCCCCAGGTCTCTCTCTTCTTTTTCCCTCTCTCTCACCACCCCTCGTCAACGTCTTTCCATACCAACCATTCGGTGTGCATTTTGGTCCTACTCGGCGTTACGCCTGTCATTCTTTTGAAACCTATATAGTCACTCTTTAGACCCCAACCCGTCACCCCTCCCTACTACTACCCACCGAAGCCTAATCACATTACACTCACCACCAAACCCCACCACCCGTCCAAGAAATCAGTCACGATGCGTTTCGCTACCGCCGCCGTTGCCGCCCTTGTGGCCTTCGTCAGCTCTGCTGTCGCCCAGAACCCCGACTTCAACCCCGTCAACAAGCCCACCCCGAACGAGAAGATCCCCGCTGGCTCGACTTACAAGATTGAGTGGACCGCCCCTGCTAAGTTCGCTGGTGTCACCATCAAGATCGCTCTCATCGGTGGCGAGACCCAGAACACCCAGGTCCCTCTCCTCGACATTGCCTGTAAGTATCTCCACCCGCGGCTCTGACGCGCCCGTTCCTCGAACCTTCGTGGTCGCTGACACAATACCTAGCCGGCATTCCCAACTCGGCTCTCTCGTATGAGTGGAAGGTCCCCGCCGACATCGGCGGCAAGAAGTTCTACGGCCTTGTCCTGACTTCGGAGGCCAACGCCGCCGACTGGCAGTACTCCAACCCCTTCGTCATCACCGCCAGCGAGGGCTCGGGCTCCAAGGCCCCTACCTACGGCTCTGGCAGCAGCACCGTTGTTGTCACCACCTCTGTCGGCACCGCCATCGTCACCCTGTCCGCCGTTCCCACGACCTCCGTGTCCACCGTCGAGACCACCACCTCGTGCCCCGAGACCACCACTACCGTCGCCGTCAAGCCCACCACCTCGGTCGTTGTCCCCAAGAACAGCACCAGCGCCGCCGTTCCCGTGCCCACCACCCACACCACTCTCGTCGTCGCCTCGACCACCGCCCCCGTCATTGCGCAGCCCACCGAGTCTGCCCCCGTCACGGTTCCTCAGAACGGTGCCGGCCAGGCCAAGGCCGGCGTCTTCGCCGTTCTCGGTGGTGTCGCCCTCGCCGCCCTCCTGTAAGGTGTGAGAAGGTCTTTGAAGGCCACGGTCTATTTCTCGACGCGGCATGAAGACATCCTATATACCCTATTCGGGGATTCTTCTCTCAGCATCCTTCGTCTGGCATCACGCGCACGCTTCCTTTTCTTTGCATTCTCACGATAATGGGTTTATTCTGGCATTCTTTGTTACAATTCACACTGGACGGACAACGTGAGGGCTACTTCTCTTTTGACATGGGGAGAACATGAAGTCATGTAATGGGTTCGAGAAGACGCGACGATCACGCTATTGAATGGCAATCGCCGTCCCGGTCCAGACTTCACAAGCTTAATCCGACAGGGGTAGGGGCGTTTATTTACTCTGGCTTATCGAGAAGGAAAATCGATTTTTGCTTGTTTAGACATGTCCCTCTGCTTGGTCGTCGCGTCTTCCCCCGCCTTCCACTTGTCTCTACTGTGTATGATTTAGTAGCCTGTAATGGTGAGAGATTTTACTCCGCTGGTATCGATTGTGTGTGGTGCGCGTGACCGTAGTGGTGATGTTTGTTTATCAGAGGGTGAGGAATGCTTGAACAACAATGGAACGTTAAGCGGGCATTCTTCCGCGGGTGTCGATGTATATGCGGGTAGCCTCTTGTTTCAGGTCCCTCAGGCCCGGGTCCGCGGTCCTCGAGCTTGTCTTGCTCGTCATTCACATTGTCTGCGCCGGCGGGTGGCAGCTTTCGAGAAGCCCTTGGCCGTCATTGTCGTTCCTGGCCAAGGCGGGATGGTGCGATAGGGAGCCAGGAAGGCCATTGACAGACGGGGCCTGCTCTGATCATGATCCTCGACTTGGTCACTCGAATGCACATCGTATTCAGCAGAGGACCACGCTTTGATCAGCCATTTTGCTAGGACCCCATTGTTGACAGCAGCATAGCGACAAAGGCACTCCCATAGCATGGAGGCTATACTTGTACATGCTCTTCCGAGAATGCTCTTCCGAGAATGCAAGTCCCGTCAGCCGAGACACAAGAAAACGGCCGATCGGCGACCCTGAAGAATGACAGCATGCCGATCACACAGGAACGGAAAACTTGGCTTCGTCTCGGTTCCTCCCCCCTGCACCGACCCCGACTCGGAGTACAAGACAGGACGTGGCGCGCCCACGCGAGAGATGGGCCCGCTGCCAATTCCAAGACGCAGGGGGGGCTGTCTGCATGTATTTGATTGTTGGTCGGATGCCGAGTTGGACCAATCCAGACCTCTTCTCCCTGGGAAAGGAGACAGGGAAAAGGAAAACGAGGGCTGGGGACGTGCCCGCGTCAGAGGCGTCCAGCCACTCCCATCTTGTGGCTGGTGAGCCTCGATCCATCTGGTGCAAAAATCATACGCTGCAATCTTTTCAAAAAAGGCACCTTTGCTGAGGACAAAAGGTGAAATCACCGATGATGGTGGTTATTGACCACAGCAGGGCTCGAACCTGCAATCTCCTGATTCGTAGTCAGACGCCTTGCCATTGGGCCATGCGGCCGTTGTTGAAGTCCTCTTCGCCTGGCTGTTCTATATCGCGCAAGCATTGTGAGCGATTTCCCGTCTAGGACATTCCCGCTCCCGTCAAGAACCCATATGGTGCGGCGGTGGTAGTGGGGTCGGAGAGCGAACAAGTCGAGTTGCTCTAGACAACTGCACTGGGCAAGGCGCAGGACCTAGCTTCAAACCACAGAAAGGGGGAAATGGGGGGGCCTCTCTTCTCTCCAACGGGCCCCGCTGTCTCTCTCCCTCGTGCGGCTCAGACAGTCCCGAGTCCCACGGCTCCCTGCGTCAGACACGCAAACACTCGGGCAGGCCGCGGCCGTTGTCTCGCGATTCGCGGTATGTTCTCTCCTGGACCTGGGAGAGGAACGTGGTGCTGGTCTTTTGTCTTGGCCCCCCTCTCTCTCACCCTGCGGCGGTTGCGCGTCACATCGCGTGTGTTGGTCTGGGGGTGATTGTATACGGAGACGGGTGCGAGTTCTCGGTGGCGGCGGAGGGAGTTTGTTGTAGCCCTTTCTTGAGGCTGTAGTGTGCAATACGGGTGTCTATTCATTCCCTCTTGTCGTCATGGTGCTGTTGTCCCTGCGGGCGAGGGTCTATTGTCGAGGCAAGGCCCTGTTGTGCCAAGCAGAGTTGTTGGCATGCATCGACTTGCTATTGAGTTGCCAAGAAAAGGCACATCTCGGAATCTCTAGCAAGTCGTGAAAAGCTGGGCACGATCCAAAGTCATGTCACGCAGTACGAGCACAGTTGGTCCAGAACAGTTGAAGATAAGGTATCATATTGTATCAAGGCCAGACAGCCGAACAGACCCTTTTAACCCGTCATAATCCGTATTATGTATATCCCAGACTCCACCCAAAATCTATCCTGTACCCATTGCTCGCTAAAGTATCGACAAAACAAATAATCCCAACTCTCCATCTAGCGGCCGCCAATCTGGCCCTTGGGCAGAGGGGGAATCCAAGACACGAGCACGTTGAGGCCAATGTGCATGCAGCCAATGACCCAGAAGCCCTTGGCGTAGTTGGTGCCGTTGTCCATGAAACGGAAGATGATGGCGAAGATGATGCCGCCGAGGTTGCCGCCGGCGCCTGTCAGGCCGGACACGATGCCGTTGGCTTGAGGGTGGACGTGAGGCACGAGGGCAAAGTTGGCGCCGTTGCCGGCCTCGTGGAAGACGGCCATGAGGAAGATGAGACCGAACATGGTAGCCTCGTCGTGGGGGTTCAAGCGACCAATGAGGATGAGGAGCAGGCCGGTCATGATGCCGCAGAACGAAACCCAGCCCTTCTTGAGCCACAGGTTCTGCTTGCCAAAGTGGTAGAGCACGTCACCGACGATACCGCCGAGGGGGCGCGTGACCACGTTGAGGAAGCCGAACATGGCGGCCCAGTTGGAGGCACCGGTCTGGCCGAGCGAGGGGAAGTTCTTGAGGTAGTACGACGAGAGGATCGAGTTGATCGCGAGCTCGCCACCGAAGGAACAGGCGTAGGTGGCCATGTGGAAGATGGTCTGGGGAGAAATGGCAACCTTGAGGCCGTCCTTGAAGGTCGGCTTGAGGATGGTCTCGCCCTGGGCGGTCACGAGCATCTCATCGCGGGAGATGGTCGCCTCGTTCTCAAACTTGGACGTGTTCTTGTTGTCGTTGGTGCTGTTCTTCTCCGAGTCAAAGGCGGTGGGCGAAGGCGTGCTGTGGCGATCGGCAATGCCACCTGGGACATCCACGACGTCGGCAAGGACATTCTCCTGGATGCCGTGACCCTGGAGGTTCTCCTGCACGTGAAGGTGGCGGTCGCTCCACTTGCCGGTCGGGGTGTCGTCGCAGAGGAGGAGGAGAGCAATGCCGCAGGTGATGATGCAAATGAGGGGCACGATGAAGGTCAGTCGCCAAGCGACACCGGGCTTGTAGCCGCGGGAGACGAAGGCGTCGAAGACGGCGGGCATGACAAAGTACGTGACACCGCCACCAGCGTTACCCCAGCCTCCAGCGAGAGCGTTGGCTGTGCCGACAATGTTCTTGTCGAAGAAGCCAGTGCACCAGACCTGGCAAGGAACGAACGTGCCGCCAAGGATACCGATGAAGAAGCGGCTGACGTAGAGACCGTTGGCGCTGTTGACAAGAGGGGCGAGGCCGATGGGCAGTGAGCCGAGGAGAAGCATGCCGCCGAAGACCCAGCGGGAACCAAACTTGTCACATGCCGGGCCGGCGATGACACGCATGAGAAGAGTTGAGCTCAAAGAGACAATGTTCGAGTTGGCGACTTGTTGCGGGGTGAGGGCGAGATCCTTGCGGATGGTGACGGTCAGAAGAGGAGGGAATGTGTACCAAGCCCAGAACTGCCAAGATTGTTAGACGAACGTCGATAGTAGACTCGGATGGAAGAAACTCACGGCAATCATGAAACCGAGCCAGCTGAAGAGGAAGACGCGGCCATATTTGTTGAAGGGGTTCAGGACCGGAACGCTGCGAGCCTGAGAATGTCATGTTAGTGGGTGATTCAACGATCGAGAGCAGTGAGCGCCATACCTTTAGTGTGATTGGGTTGACCTCAGGGGCCCTCCAGAGTGTGCTGATCTTCATGATGATGAGCCGTCAAGGCAGTGCCGCCGAAGATTCTGTATGTGGGAAGCCGGAGTGGATTCGAGAGCAAGATGCGGGTATATCTAAATGGCTTCAGGCAATGTCGAAGTCCGGAATAGGACAGCCTGCTGTTCAAGTGTGAAGGCGCTTGCTGAATGAATGTCGAATCTGAATGCCGAACATCCAACAACATGGACCTTTGATCTAAGGTCCTTATATCAATGCTCGCCCAAGGAGAGAGCCGGTAGGTGAGCTGTAATCGTGGAACCGAAATAAAGCATCTCCGGTGAGGACTGCGGCTTCCACACGCTAAGCCAATCTAGACTCTGCCACAAGCACTCCTCTGATGTCTCCCCTAGGTGGCCAGGTGGGACGAGAGATAGAGGAGGCTCCCAACGTGTCCGGAGAAAGGCAAACCGTCCTTATGGGTCTGGGCACTGCGGGAAGTCTGGGGCAACCCGTGGACAGGGTCGCCTTAGCTGCGGGCTTTGGCGTCGATCACTGATAACAGTGCATAGCCGGAACGTAGGGGGCACGGGATTGAAGTGGCAGGGCGGCACATGCTTGCAGCTGCGCTCAAATTTTCGTCGAGTCCGGCAACACCGTGCCTTGGAGCTGATTCCGGAGAAGCACAGTCTGATATTGTGCAGGTCAGCCTGTTTTTGATGTCTCGAGATAGCCAAAGATGCGACTCGAAGAGCAACATAGAGTTCTCCAGCGAGTGCCACCAGCGTGGGATCTCCTGTGTTCTCCTCGCAACCAGGGAAGTTTGACGATAGGGACAGGACCTCCGGCGAGCGGGTGCCCAGCAGAACGATGAGCAGAACGATGGGCGCGTAACGTCAGTCACCAAGCATTGGTGTCTGTTCCAAGACTAATCCCCGATGATACAGGCGTTCCTGATGCAATAGCGATCTAGGGAGCGCTACGAGACGGGCACCAACAAAGGAGGCCGTGGTGGGAAACGGGCGCTTCAAAACAGTCCTTGCCTTTCTGGGGCGCGGCTGGGAGTCCATAGTTGGGCCCCTTGGGCGATATCGCTGACTATCTGAAGGATTCCATTGGCCATGGCAAGAGATTCTGTATCCGACGTGGGACAGACACAAGGAAAACGGGCGACCCAAGGGACGAAACAGAGGCGCTCGGGAGCTTATCAGTGTATCTCTGGAATCTGTAGATAGGCATGTCGTCTCAGGGTTGCCAGAGCTGGATGAGAGGAGGTTGAGAGGCCGGGATCCACCCTAGCCAAGAGATAAGGGGATCCGGGACGCTGACTGGCCACAGTGGCTGACAAGGACAGACATCGGTGCTTTGTCGCCTGGTTGCCGGATTCGACCAGGCTCGTGTCCCTCAGCCTCCGGTATCATCCTTCTAGCGCCTCTCCCCTGTCTAGCTGGTCATATGGAAGGGAGGCGCATCTCTTGTTCTCATGGGGTTCAGGTCCTCCTTCGAGCCACCGTCGTGGCGTTGGGCGTCCAGAGGGCGGCCGCTGGGTATTCCCGGAACCATGAACAAAAGCCGCATCTAGGTTTCGAGTCAGTGTCTAGTTCCCGACGACCACTCGCACGACGACTCATGCTAGATCACATGCAGTTCCGTCGAGAATGATGATGGATTTTTCGGATTCAGCCATTCTCTGGCTTCTGATGGCTTTCTACACAGCATGGTCATGGCGATGGCTCGTGATGTTCATGCGTATGATGGTGGTATGATGGATGATAAGCCAGGGCTCTGACAGCAAGATAAGGTTGCGTGGGGCCAAGTCGATCAAGTGCCTCGCTGACTGCCTAGACGGCAATGGACGGGTCAGGTACGTACCCAGGCTTGCCAGGTACTCTTCCCTTAGTCAGCCCCTCTACCCCAAAGCACCTTCCCCCCACGTCCCAGATCTCCGGCATTGCTCTTTCAGGGGCAGGAGTGAGGGGACCAGACCCTGAGATCCAGATCCTTAATGAAGACATTTCCTTCTTCTCCTTTCTCGATTTCAAGCCATCTTCCATATCTGATGCATCGTACCCAAGTTCGTGGCAATCGCAACCCGGAACCCTCCCCGACTACCATGACAACCCCCATCGCGCGAATCCCACTGTCATCACCGATACCGCCGATACCCGTATCTCACTGCGGGCGTTCTGCGGCTCCGTCGACGCCGGCACGTGGGACAGGTGGAGGCCGAACTCTGCTCCGCGGAGATACAAAACCCGTCCCTTATCCCACCTCCATGCGAACTGTCCACCACAGAACCGAAGCCCCTCCAAACTCCAAACCACCCTTCAGGCCGCCTGCCCTCGCTCAGCCCAAGACGGTCCAGCGCCATGCTTAGGGGTCCGACAGCGGGAGTGGCGTGGGTGTGGCCAGGAACTTTCGATTTGGTCGGCCCCCAATGCGTTTTGCCTTCGCACCAGGACGCACACAGCATACATAGAGAGGGAGACCAGCAGCGCGCGCCGCCCCTGCCACATGTCATCGAGAAACAGTACACCTCGGCGTCCAACCCGGTTGGGTCTAACACGAGGCCTATCGGTCCGGCGACGCGACCTTGTCAGCGGTTGCAGTCTGGTCTGACGCGTTGTCTGCTACATTGTGGCCCGATCGGGCTGTGACAAGTCTGATGGAACAAAAGAAAACTGGCCCCTTGCCCCTCGTCCATGATACGTGACTACGCGTGTTGATTCTGTAGACTCACCATCATCACTCATGCCAGGACAGATATCACATCGCGACCCTTGCATCCATAACAACTTGGTCATAATGTCGTTGAAAATGCAACTCTGCTGGAGAATCGTTCGAGAGAGAAAAAAAAAAGGCATTACGAATGCGCCGTGCCCTTTTTTTCTTCGCCGCCCCATGATGATGCTGTCCAGGCATACTTTGCCATGCCCCCCTTGAAGACGCCAAACCATAATGACCACCGCTCTTTTCATGAATACAGCCTGGGAGGCCCCAAATGACAGCCGTGCTCGTCGTATCTACAGCACTCGTGATATGTGTCCTTCTCTCCGTCTCCGCCTTCACTCAGGTCGGCATCAGCCCAATACCACTGCCCCCCGACTTGCCGCCACCCCTATAGGCATAGCTTGATATGAGAGCAGACCGGGAGGCGCCCGATGTCGCAGCAGAACCCCCGCCTCGCGCGCTGCCCGAGGCCCTGCGCTTCGTCACGCCGCTGCCTCTGCTGCTGCTGCCTCGCCTCGTGTATTCGGACGATTGTTTCCGTGAACCGCTGGCCTTCCTGCTGCCTCCACGGCTGCCCGCTCGAAAGCCACCGCGACGCCCACCGCCTCCGCGGTACGAGCCCCCTCGAGGGCCTGCGGTGGCCCCAAATCTCGACTCCCACGCACGTGCTGCCTTGGGGGAAGGAACCTCAGGCTCCGATTCATCGTGCTCCGAAGCCCCGCGGAAATACTTTGAAGGCTGGTCCCGTTCCTCATCATCGAGATCCTCCGTCTCGTCGCCGTCTTCATCGCTGATAGTGATGGCGTCAGCGCCTTGGCCAGCATACAAAGCCGATCCCTCGGCGTCGTCTTGCTCGTCTGCTTGCTCGTAGAGTGACTCGCAGCTCTTGATGAGCGGCAGGAACTTGCTGCCAAACTTAGTGACGCGTTCGGCATCAATGCCGGAAATCGCCCGCATCTTGGCCAACGTTGTCGTGCGGTTGATGGCCATCTCCCTCAGTATAGCTTCCGAGAATAACGGTTTCCGCAGCTGTTGCTGGTTACGTAGCTTCTCTTCCAGCACCTTGGCGTCTCGAACAAAGTTTTCGATGAGATCCTGCTGCCAGTCCTCGAGTTCGCGCAAGCGATCCTCCTGCGAGATACGAGGTCCGAGCGGGACAGCGACTTTGCGTCTCCTGGCCGCCGGCCTTGGCTCGAATCCGTCATCGGACTCGTCGTCTGAAACGACAAATTCATCCCTCTCGTAGCCGTTGACGTGAGTGTCGGCATCTCTTTCTTCAAAATCACTCTCTTCATCGAGCACCACATTCTTCCCCTGTGCTCTTCGTGTAGTTTTGCCCGTGGCTGGGGAGGAAACGTTGGTCGATGGCGGAAGCCGCGACTGACCAGGCATGGGCTTGTCTCCACCATCTGCTGAATCTTTCTTCGTTCGCTTGCGCGGCTTCGGTGCCGATGATTCCTTATCCTTATTGGAAACCTTGACCGACATCATCAACTTGCTGCGACCGCTGATGTACTTGTTGGCGTTGACGCCCACCTACTCATTTCGTCAGTGAACCATGCCCTCTTTCTTGATGGAGCACCCAGCATTCGACTCACATAGATGTACTGTATCGCTATTTTGGCATGCTTGTTAAATGTGTTCTCCTCCCGGAGAGCAGATTCGGCAAGGAGCTTGTCCACTAGTCTCTCAATCTCATGCTTTGCCAAGCGACCTTTGACAAAGCCGTGGTTGTCGTCGAGATTGTCGTCAATCGTCTTTGGACGCTTCTTGCCGAGCAGGATATCCGCACACTGATTGATAGTCAGGTACTTGTGCGCCTTGATCGTCTCAATAACGGCAATGGCGAACTCGCTGAAATCCCGCTCCTCAAACACGCCCTTGTGAAGACAGTTGTCGCAAGTCTTGTTACAGTCCGCGACATTGAATGCTTCGCCAAAGTAGCGGAGAATTGTAACTCGACGACAGTCTTTCTGATCATCACAGTACGTCGACATGCGGTTCAGCATGCCTCGCTGCCGCTCCTTTTGTTCCTCGCTGCCGTCACCGTCATTGATCATCTTCTTCAGGGTGAAGACATCGCCGTACCCAAAGTACAGAATACAATCGGACGGTTTACCGTCTCTGCCCGCACGTCCGGTCTCTTGATAGTACCCTTCAAGACTTTTGGGAAGAGAGTGATGAATGACAAATCGCACGTCAGGCTTGTCAATGCCCATTCCGAAAGCAATAGTGGCAACCACTACCTTGATGCTGCCCTTTTGCCATCTTCTCTGGACATTCCACTTCTCCTCAGGCTTCATAGCCGCGTGGTAATGGCTTGCAGAGATGCCATAATTGTCGCGAAGCTTCGTGGCCACGTCCTCTGTGTTCTTGCGCGACAAGACGTAGATGATACCCGTCTGGTTATCATACTTGCTTTGGATCAGTTGAGCAATTGTTTCGATTAGGCCTTTCTCCTTCCTCTCGACAGCATACGTCAGATTCGGCCGATTAAAACTTTGCGTAAAGACTTGGCACTTGTCAATCTGCAGATTGTGCTGGATATCCACGATAACATTCGTGGTAGCAGTAGCAGTCAGGGCAATGATGGGCACGCTGGGATAGTTACTGCGCAGCTTGAACAGGTCTTTGTAGTCGGGTCGGAAGTCATGACCCCACTGGCTAACGCAGTGTGCCTCGTCCACGACGAAACGCGCCAGTTTCTGGTTCCGATAGACGTTCGCAAGTGCACGCTCAAATTGTGCGCTAGCGTTGAGCATCTCAGGACTGACGTAAAGCATCGTGAACTGATGATCGGGATACGGGCTGTTCATGAATTCCAATATCTCTCGTCGAGCTGGGGCCTGAATGGCACTGCTGAAAGCCTTAGCCTTGATGCCAAGCGCCGTGAGATGGTCGACTTGGTCCTGCATCAGACTGAGTAGTGGCGAAACGACAACAGTGATGCCCTTCGTCTTCCCGCTAGTGACCACGGCCGGCAATTGGTAGCACAGGGATTTACCTCCGCCAGTTGGCATGAGAACGAATGCGTCTTTACCAGCTAGCGTAGCGTTGATGGCTTCTAGCTGGTTGGTCCGGAAGCCACGCATTCTGAACCTGTCCTTGAGGGCCTTGGTCACGTCCTCGGACCAACGATGTTTCAGTAACTCGGCAGGAATCGATGCCTTCAGGACTGCAGCCTCCCGTTTCTTCGGCACAGCCTTGGGTTTTGATGAAGTGACCGCATTTCCTGACGTTTTGGCGAGAATCGGACGCCGGCTGAGCATGTCATTGGACGGCATTTCATTCGTCTCGTGCGCTTCTGCCATGGCAACCATGGCATCATCATCGTCAAAGCCGTCGCTAAACGTGTCGGGCCTAGACGACAATTTCGCTGAAGTTCCATCACTAGGCTTGAACGCTGAAACAGCTGAAAATGATGGCGTCATTGCACTCAAGTCGGATTCTTCAATGTCGTCGAAGAAGTCTTCAGCGTCATCTTCTACAAGGATGTGCCCAGCTGGTGCTCGATCATACGAAACCTGGGAATCTTTAGGAGTCCGTGTGGATGTTCGTGGAAATGGAGGAGGAGATGTCTGTCTGTATTGTGGCGCAGAAGAGAATTGGGTTTGCTGGATGACTTCAGTGCATGGTAACGCATTTCGGGAGTGTACTTTTTGACCAGCGCCTGGGTGGGATGGCTGTGTGTTGAGAATGACCGAATCTTTGAAATGCACGGTTGGCTTTTGGGTGCGCTCATGTTCAGCCATAAAGTCGGCATCGATACCCGCTGCTGAAAGGAGCGGTAGATATGTCTGCTCGAGAGCCTTGATGCTGTCGGAGATATCGTCCAAACGACTCTCATCATCATCGGTATCGAGGCCAGCATCGTATGCTTCGGCTAGCTGAACAGCGAGCAATTGACGCTCGTCCTGAAGGGGCTTAAGCTGCTCAGCGACAGCTTGAACGCTTTTGAGCGCTTCTTTCTGTGCAAGCAGGACCTTCTTCTCGCTTTTTACCTTCTGGCGGTCTTCTTTTGTCCCGCCTTGCTTCAGAAGTATGCCAAAGGCTTCACTATTCTTGGTGATTCGTGTCTCTAAGCTTTTCGTCTTTGACTCCAAGACCAACTCCGTCCTGAGAAACCATTCTAGGACGGCGGGATCAGGATCACCTGGAATCTGCGAACCAACTAGAGGCCCCGACGACTGCGACTGAGATATTGGTCTTGATGATGCCTCCTGCTTTGCAGGCAGAGTTGGGGCCGCCATTTTCGTAATTGGGGCGACTTGAACAAGCTCAGCTCGAGAGGGTGTTTCCAGGGCCATCAGCTCATCATCGGTCGTAGGCGACTGTATAGCTCTCAACACATCATGATCTTGCTGAGCGATAGAGACATGTCGACTCGGGGGTGTGATCAATTCGTCATTAGGCTCGTCGTCGTCTGAGTCCTGGATAATCCGGCGTTTCTTGACCAAGGCGGGCGCTGGCGTGCCCTTAACCTGACAAGCATCAGGCGTTGAGTCCACAGGCTCACCTGTGTTGGGCGAGGACGATAGGACGAGCGCTTTGCTTGGCGTTCTTCCCAGATATTGATCGTGATGAGAAAGAGGCATGGGTCGTCTGGGCGTGCCAGGATTGCCATCGTCACTAATTTGTCGATATGTTTTCTGAATTCGGTTCGTTGAAGGGCGCACGGCTTGGTCGTGTGTCTCCAGCAAGCTCGGAGTGGTGATTTTTGTGACCTTGGTCGCTTTGCTGCTCTTCGGAGCAGGAGTCTCGAGTATGTCGTAAAGGTCGGGAAACTCATCATCCGAATTGAAATCATCCATGTCGGCAACATCCATACTCTTCCTCTTCTGGCCCCTGTGTGACAGCGGCTCCGACCTCTTGCCGTGCTCTTCGTTCCAAATCTTGACTTCATCGCCAAAGTTGATTGAATCCGGGGAGATGATGGTATCGTCCCCTGTGAGATCCATCACATCGGATAGGTCAAAGTCATCCAGGTTTGGCAAGTCCCGTGTTGGCGTTTGGCTAGTCTTGATGTTAGGACGCACAGCTTGCGGAGCCGTGAGTGACCTGGTCGCTGTTCGCTTGCTCTGCGAGACTGGCTCACGCTTGGCAGGGAAGGGGGAACGCAGGCTATGACCCGCATGCTGTTCTTCGAGTTGAGCTTTGTATGCCCGTTGCAAAGCACCGCCGGCGCTTGTCGAAGGGTCAGGCGTGGGGAGTTGTTGATTTTTGCTCAATAAGGATGGCTTGTGAGGCTTCGACGCCGACATCAATTTGGCCATGTCCTCGTGAGCGTTCGGTGCCCCTCCGGGATCCCGAACAGTATGTTTCGGCGTATCGTTAGCATGAGCGGCAGCTGCTATTTCGTTCGGTGCGGAGTGCGCTCGCTTGACGGCAATATTGGACAGAGTCGACTTGGTCTCGAAGCTTGCGGGCTTCAGTTGGGACTGCGACAAGCTAAGGCTCTGAGGGTAGCTGGGACATGTAGGTTTCGTGATGGCGACGTTGCTCAAGAGCCAAGCAAGATGGTCTCCGAGGTTGTTCCGCGTCATGAAGTCGGCGAAGAAACATTTGATGGTATATGTGCCGGCATTGGACGAGAGTGGAGGCTTTTTGCCTTCAGCGGTCGGTTCGCTGCTGGTGAATTACGGCGTTGTGCCTCGACGTTCCTCGTAAAGTGGTCCACGTGAACCGGAGGCAAGTCGCGTCGGTGGGGTTAAGTCTGCCTTGAAGCGCGTTTCCTTAGTCATTGCCAAACATTCTCGTGTTCACGTGACTTGGCGAGGACGGTCTTCGCCCCAGCAGTCCCTACGGCCTTGCTCATTTAGGTACCTAAGGTGGTACCTTAGACAGTTATCCTAGCATCTGGCACGGCGTGTTACTTTTCCACAAGCAGCTTGAACGAAGTGGCTCCAAATGACAAGTGATATTTGAATAAACAAGATGCAGAGGACTCGCAATCCTGAACCCCGATAAGGTAACTCCAATAGACAGCCCTCCCCGCTGCAATCCAGCCACTGCCTACCTGCTGCTTCTCGCTTTCTTTCTGCCCTCCCTCTCCCTCTCGTATGCATTCGCCTCCCGACCTTCTTCGTTCTGAATCTCGGCCACGAGCCTCTTGTATTTCTTCTCGTACGCCTCGTCTTTGGCCTTTTTGACCCGCAGGTTCTCGCGCTGCATGAAACGCGCATCCTTGCGGAGCTCGCGCATGGCACCCTTGCGTTCCCGCTTGTGCTCTGCCCGCAGCTTGGCCAGCTCCGCGCGATCGCGATCGGGGTCGTAGTGCTTGTTGGGGTCGAAACTGTCCTCGAACTTGGGAATGCCCATCTTGATGGCAAGCGGGCGATGGTGGTGAAGCTCAAGCGGACGGCGCGCAAGGCGGGCTGAGTTGCTGAGGATGCGGAGCTTGAGGATTACCTTCTCCAGTTGATCGACCAGCGCAGGAGGCAGCTGCGAGTTCTTTGGCTTTGTGAGCTGAGAAATCATTTCCAGCGCCGGACTAAACGTCTCGGTGAACGCGCTTGCGGAGGCCCATATATCGGCGGCTGCTGCCAAGAGTTGCGGAGATGCGGCGCTGGCAAAAAATATCAGCATGCAATTCAGCGTTTCGGACAAAAGCTCAGAACTTACAGAAGTGCAAGCTTGAGCTCTTGGCGCTCTTCCTTCGTCTGCTCCTGTGGAGTGCAGTCCGAAATCTTCAGCTTGCGAATCGTGCCCTTCTTCGTGCTCAAAAGTCTCACATCCGCTGCAGGCTCGTGTACTGGGAAAGTCCCTGGCCATGAAGCCTTCTGCGGTGCTACCGCGGCGATTGTGTTGAGGCAGACGTTCTATTACGTGTCAGAATCTAAATGTTGGGGAAAGATTGCCCTAACTTACCATAACTGAAGGCATATATCTCTTCGAGAAGGCTTGGTACTGAAGAACGAGGGTGGAAAGGTATGCACCTGTCGCCAAGTCGTCGAGGGTCTTCGGTGCTTTCAAACTCAAGTACCGATCAATAGTCAACATCATTGGTCTGTCATTTTGTCAGTTGCTGTTACGGTGATGTCGGAAATCAAAACCTTACGTGACAACCTGGTGGAAGTGATCCGAGGTAGGGAACATGCCAACGGCGGTAAAAAGGATCAAATCACCAGTATGCAGAGCTTGCGGTCGCTGTTCTTCCATCTCTTTGATGTGATGCCGGAATCGAACAGCTATCTCAACTGGGAAGAATGTCTTCGCCAGCGAATGAATATGTCGCATAATTTGTTCGATGACCTGGAAAGGCGTGCCTAGTTCGACGTGGTCCATCGCAATGTAATCGACGAGCGCAATGGCAAAGTGCTCCAGCTTCTCCTTGTGCCGACTATCAAGTTTCGGGTGGTAGACTGCTCGGATACGTTGCACAATGGTCGGAAGCTTGTCGATCGGGTACTTTTTGGCCAGCACCACAAAGTCGGAGACCGTCTCAGGGCAAGGAAAGGTGTATGGCAGATCGGAGGCGTCAACTTTGCCGTTCGCTGGTGCTCCTGTGGTGAAGATGTTACTCCTCGTTTCAGACTCGTTCAAAAGGCCTTTGGTGAATTCGTCATCAGACTCGTCGGCTTCCTCTTGCTCGTCGCCAGACAAATCTGTTTCCTCCTCCAGATCGCTCTCGGCAATGTCGAGGTCGGAGCCGCTGGCCACAAGATCATCGTCGATGAAGAAATCGTCCTCGTCACCTCCAAGCTCATCAGCAGACGGACGCCCCTTCGAACGGCCCTTGGATGCCTGCACTCCCTTTCCGAGACCAAAATCTTCCTCTGGGTCCTCAGTAAAGAACTGGAAAGCAGGCTCCTCAACTGGTTCCTCGTTGATCTTGTCGTCCTCGCTTTCGTTGTCGTCATCAGAGACGGACTCTCCCCTCATGCGCTTTTGGCGGTCAGACTCCAGTTTCTTGAGTCTCGTCACCTCTTCCTCCGCCTTCTCCTCATCCGTCTTGGTCCTCTCGGTGGGCTTCGATCGCTTGTCAAGGATGAGTTGTTTCAGCCTGCGGTCGAAGTCCTTGTCGAACGCAGCCTTTTCCATGCCTGCAACGAGCTGAGGCGGCTTATCGTCCTTGGGGACATTCTTGCGCACGCGAGCTGCCAACAGCATCTGCAGCTCAGGGAGCTCTTTGTCCAGCTGGCCGCGAAGCTCTTCGTCTTCATCCTTGGCAACTTGTCGTTCGTACCTGTGAGAAGAACGGGGTCAGTAGCCGTATCGACAGCAGTAGCCAGAGATCAGACGTACTTGTAGGCTTTGGACTTGGCGATGACCTCTTCCATGACCTCCTTCTTGCTCTTCTTCCTCTCCGGTTCGCCCTCGCCACCCTCCCCTTCCTCATCAGCCTCGGCATCTCGGATGCGCTTGAGCGCCCGCTTGCGAGCCTCTGCCAGGCCTTCGTCATCGTCCGAGTCGAGATCGTCCTCGTCAAAGTCGTCAACCAGTTGCGTATCCAGAGTCAAGGCCTCGCCGCCGTGAGTGAGCTCGCCCAGAGGCTCAGCCTCCTCGAGGTCGAAGAGGTTCGTCTTCTTGTGGGACCTCTGCTTCTCGCGGGCGAAACGCTCCAGCATCTTCTCCTCCTCCGCCATGTTGGGGTCGCTTTCACCGAATCGTCGATCGAGGATACCTCCGACCTTGTTGCGCCTCTGCATCTCGAGCAGGAGTGTGTCCCGGCGCCGCTGCTCTGCCGCAGTCGTGGAGGCCACCGGACGGCCGGCAATTCCCTTGGCGGCATTGCCGGTAGGTGGGCGATTGGTCGTCACCTCAAACTTGGGGCCTCGGGCATTGTGCTTCAAGTCGAATGGGTTAAACTGCTCCCGGATCTGGTTGAGGGCTTCGGTTCGGTTCAGGCGCTTGTCGTTCTTCGCCTTGCCGTCGTTCGCAATCTGGCGCTTCTGCTTCTTGGACTTTTGGGGTCCGGTCAGGCCTTGCTCTGGAGAGGGCAATGTCAGTCGTCAATCCAAAAAGTGATACCCGCAAGAAGATAAGTGTTTACCTCTGAGCGAAGACTTCAGTCGTTTGAGATGCGAACCGCCCGCCATGTTGAAAAAGTTGTCCGATCACCGACCGAAGTGCTTGTGCATCGCTATTCAGACCGCGGGTCGCAAACATCTTGAAGAGCCATCCAAAAAAATTGTGAGGGACCCAGGCTTATCTTATCAAATAATGGGGCATTCAATCGGTGCAGGGAATGATGGATGTCGTAGGGGTGGGGCGCAGTTCCGGGCACTACCTTGGTACCTACCTAGGTACCTAAGGCAATAGCTGGGGTATCTACTTCTGAAGCTCGAGCTTGGAGCTCCGTCATTGCACCATCAATCATGAACACACTGGAAGCCTTCATAGAACGGAGGCATCGTTTCCCTTGCAAAACACGATGCGGCCATGACTATGAACGACACAATGTCGCTTTCGTCTTTTCTTCGGTTCTGTCGCGACGAGCGCGTCGTGCTCATCGGGATTGGCGCTGCCACCATTAGCATGGTGACGATGATGACACAGGCACTGCTGTGGGTGCGCGACGACAACGAAGTCAAGCCGACGCCGCTGAAACCGCAATACATCACTCAGGATACAGAAGACTCGCTACAGCTCGGAACGCTCGACAAGTTGCTGGCTCATTCGAACTACTCCATCCGCGAAATCGCCAACAAGATCCTGTGCGATCGCGCCGTCAATGACCCAGACACAATTGTATACCTACTCTACGATATCACCCGGCCAGACTATGACACACGAATGCGGGCTCTTAGAGCGCTGGCCGCATTGACTGGTCATACTCATGGTACGCCTCCAGATCTGACTCCTCATCATAAGTATGGGTTTGCTGATTCGACACAGAAGGGCTGTCAAACCTGAACACCTGGCAAGCGTACACAGCGTTGGTGCGATCACTCGAGCTCAGCCTTGAAGACGTGGAGCACGAAAGCCTCGACGACAAATATTGGGATGAATACTACCTACGCGATATGGCCGAGAGGTTTTGCCTAATGTTCATACTGGAACTCATTAACAAGTATGGCGCCGAGACGCTGGTCAAGGCCAAATTCGTGGAGAAGTGGTTGGCGAAGCAAAAATGGGGCGAGAGCGAGGATGAGCGGCGCGAAAACTTCACCTACTACCTGGATCACAAGAGAAACCGGATCGTCGACATTGTCACGAGGATAGCGCACACGGCCGAGGGTAGCAAAGCGCTGAACGCGTGCAACCTGCCCGTGTCCAAGTTTCATGTCACCATTGCGGCGGAGACGGAGGAAGGGTTTCTGGTCGCCCTGCAGCCGGCTGTGCGTGAGGCGGACGTCGACGATGACCAGGCGGCGGAGAATGTGCCCAGAAGCAGGGATCACTCCGCAGAGGAACAACGACTTCGACGCCAGCATCGAGAGGCCATGGTTTTCAATGACGGCACGCGGCCCATTGGGAGAGAAGACATTATCGAGCGCAACAGCGGCTCGCCGCCTTAGTAGGGCTTTTGCTTGCTAAGCTATCATTATTCGCCGTGGCTGCAATCGATTCGACTTCCATTGGGTTGATGGGAAAACTGTTCTTATGCAGCATCACTTCAACCCATGACGGGGTATACGGGGCCGTCATCTCGGCTTTCAGGCCTGGGAAGATCACCTAGGGCATCCATATACGATGATTCCTCACGCAGCTCCGAGAGAAGCACATAGTGTCGTCGTCGGCAGGGGGCTACTCAGTTGAGAGACATGTGCTGTTCTGTCTGACTGTAATGGCATAAGCCCCTTGCTGCTGAGGCTGACAGTGGAGCTCGAAGAGACATCGGTGTAGCTCGTCATGTCGCTTTCTGACGTCGTTAGATGTACAGGAGATTGGGCGGCTCATGTCATAAGAGGTGACTGGGCTGTAGAGTTGACGTGATTCTCAGTTGGTGGCAAGGCCAGGAGGCAGGGTGACGGCTGCCGTGGGAAATGCACTGCTTTTCTTGCTGCAGATTCTGTAGCGCAACAAGGTGTTCAATGAAAGGGCCCCCAGGGCATCCTGCAAACTGCGAGAGCAAACCGAGCGGCTGAATTCCACAGTATGAGCTTTTCTGGCTTTGATAACCAAATAACACCTACGTGGATGTGTTTCATTTGAGATCAGCGGCCTCGAAACAGCATAATGATGGCCGAACAGAAGCGCAAAGAGGTGAGCGAGTAGTGTCACACATACTTACTGGCGTAGATGGAGCTTCTGCCAGGGTTCTGGAGATTTTCAAGGGTGCGACTTCTAACTCAAGTCATCAGTTCCCTCGTGTGTGTCGCGGTAACAACGATATTACAGCGTGGAGCCGCAGAGATAAGTCTAGCGCCGCGCAACAGCTACTTCCCCGGAGGGACCATTTCTTATGTCCCCGCTCAAGTCCAGTACGTTGAGCGGGATGTTCGAATGTAAATCGAAGGTGACATTGAAGTATTGCTCCCAGAATGTTTTCTCGGAAACGCAGTCATCTGTCACTGATGATCGGTTTCCGGGGCAGCCCATATGGAGCCAGACAACAACAAGCAGACAGTATCGGACCGTGGGGAGAGGGTCCGTGGAGAGGCGAATAGATCCGGCAACAGATCAAATCAAAGGGTCTATAGACAGGCCAAATGAAGCATCACCACAGGAGGAAAAGCCAGGGTTGACAGTCCGGGCATGGGTTATGCAGCAGCTTATGAAAGGACACCAATATGACATATCATACGTACCTGGTGAACAGAGCTGTTCGTGGCATTCGGAGAAATCTCCCGCACATCCAGTTTCATATCCAGTTCTAAACGTGAGCACAGGGCTCCGGACAGGCAATGGTATTGATCTGAGTGAGACGTTCATTTTACCCTAGAGCTGGCTGTCTGGCTTTGGATGAGAGGATGACCATCCCAACCATATGACAAGCTACGTACGGTCCGGCCACAGCGGGGTCATTTTGCTGGTGGGTCTCCTCTCCCGGGAGCGCAGGGCAGCTACGAGACAGGGTTCCGGTCTGGCGGCGTGGTGCACAGATAACATTTAAGCGACCGACCATTTTAATCCCCGGGACGAACCACCCGCATACGTTACGAGATGGCCGGCTGCTCGATGCCAGTGGGGTACCAAGCAAGGAGAAAAGGCCCATACCTGAGTGAAGCTGGAAAGCAAAAAAAAAGATGCCTGGAAATATATCGTGGGCTATTGGGTACCAGCCCGAGGTCCGGGGCGCCCGAGGTCTTGGGATTCCCTTGTTTCCAGTCTGTTCTGATATTGGATGATCTACCAGTACCTCATCCTCCCAAGATCGGGGCTCAGGCTAATCAAATGTCTGGAGGCCCCAACTCAGACTGACGTCGGAAGTCTGGTAACCGCCCGCGCCTGCAAATGAAGGCCGAGAGGGCAGCGACCACTTATGATTGCCATGCGCAAGAAGGACACTCGTCCTGTCAGACGTCTTCGTCAGACGTCTTCTCCACTCCCCACTGACCGGCAGCGCCGCCATGGACGGTTGACGGCAAAGGCACAGCTTCAAGCTCGAGGTCACATGGAGGCGGCAGCCATTCAGCAATGGATCTGCAGGCACGGCGATGGGGTCGCCCGTCCCAAGGCGGGCTGAGGTTGGCTGAGGAGGTGCATGTGTGCAGCGGCCGACGCAGCAAGGAGCGCCTGCAAGACGCAGTGTGATGGAGGCAGCGTTACTGTATCTGGAGAAGGTAAACAATCCATCCCATGAAGCCTCGCGAGAAAGGCGGTGGATGTTGCCGTGGCAAAGTTCAGGGGAGGCTTTCGTGGCGATGCACCCGTTAAGACTCACTCTCTCGTATTTGAGTCTGGAAATGCAGAAAGGGTATTTCTCCCTTTGCTCCTCTGCAAACAATATCTGGGGGTTGCTTCTTTTTTCCCCAATCCCCTTCCCGCATGTATCATGTTGAAGGTGAGGCAAGTCGCATCCTCAAATCTCTACTGAAGCCGATCCCCCTGTCAGTTGTCCAACTGCCACCCACCCTGTCCCCAGTCACCAGCGGCCGAGCCACCGTCACAGTCGTCCTCACACATCTCCCCTCCCCCCCTGGCAGGAAATTGACGGAACGGGTTGACACCAAGGGAGGGACATTCAGCACACGGACGGAAAGGAACGAGGCGTGCCGCTGGGTTGTGACGTGACGAAACAAGAAGAGGCGAAACCCCTTGCCTTTCATTCAACGACACATTCTCTTCTTCCCTCTCTCTCTCTGTTCTTCCAGTCTTCTTTATTCCTTTGCTTCTTGCAGCGAGCGTCGCGGCTGCAAGTCAGAAAGAAACGCAGAGAGCATCCAGCCATTCACACACGCCAAGTTCATCGCCCAACTTGTTACACGAGCGAGGAACAAACCCCCCCACCCGCCTGCCGGAAGCCTACAAAGGCACTGGAGCTGGAGGGAGAAGCTGGAGGGAGATCGCGCTTTGCTTCCTGTCCACTCATCCACCTTGGATGGCAAGGCTAGCCTAGCCTGACAGCACATCAGGCACGTTGGGCATCCGACATTGGGGAGGGGGAAGAAGACACTGGACGCCAGACGCGGGCGCGAGACATCAGACGAACCTGGAAGAAAAGAACAGAACAGGCCCGCCAGTCAGGTTCGAGCTCTGTTGCTCGGTCGTTGACGACGGAACACTTTTTTTCATGAGGTGTGGTGGGGGTAAACAAGATTACCTCCAGCCCACTGACGGTACGCTGTAATTACAGGTACCACAGCACCTGGAGACGCCTGGCCGAGTACGACCCTCCCGGTGGACGGCAGCCGCACCTAAGGTACCCATAGGTACCTACCTACCTTAATCGGTACCTTAGTCCTACCTGATCAAAGTACCTGAGCCAAGGCAGGACGCCAGTCCCAGACCTTCCGCCATGTCTTCAACGCTGGTTACCGAAACAACATCCTCCACCATATCAACATCAACAAGGCCGCCACCACCGCTCCGCTCCCAACGCTCCACGCACTTTTCCCAGCAACTGCCGCGCACCCTGCGAAAGTCGTCCAGCTTCACCAACGGCGCTCTCTACGGCTCTTCCCACCACGCTGCATCGACGCCCAACCTCAACTCGCTCTACACCTCGCACTCGTCACGCCTGGCGCCCCCCTTACCCACGAGCTCCTCCCTCTTGGCGCGCAAGGGCTCCCTGGCCGCCCTGACGCCATCGTCCCTCGCCTCCATCCCCGATGCCAGCGAGAGCTACGGCCTCAACACTGTGCTGAGCGATCCGCCCGACGGAAAGAGAATGACGCCCACGACGCCGGGCCGGACGCCTCGCGCCGCCAGCGCCCTCGTTGGCGGCGATGACTTTGTCGTTGGCGATCTTGTTGATGTCCCTGGCAACATGTACGGCACCGTTCGTTTCATCGGACCTGTGCAGGGAAAGAAGGGCACGTTTGCCGGTGTCGAGCTGCATTCCGACTTTGCGCCCCGCGGCAAGAACTCTGGCGATGTGGATGGGTATGCGTTTCCCTGTCCTTGATTCCCTCGTCCTTGACCCCTCTTCCTTCAATTAATCCCCTTTGCTGACCTCGCTCGATCGATGCAGCGTGTCCTACTTCACCACGAGCGTCCCCGGCGCCGGCATCTTTCTGCCCTTGATCAAGGCCTCTCTGCGACCCACGTCCCCTGATTCGGCGACGAGCTTCCCATTCACCCCGACGGCAAGCGTTCACAGCGGCGGTCTCAAGATGGGCAACCAAAACTCGACGAACCACACACCTGCGACGCCCTCGGTGCCCAAGTTCAGCCAGTCCGTCGGCCCAGGAAGAGCACCCAGTCCCCAGATGAAGCGCCCTCGACCTTCGCTACCCCGCCCCGAGTCGCCTGTTCGACGACTCATGACGCCCGGCCCTAGGCCCTCCATTGGCGGCGTCACCCCTGGCGTCAAGCCCCCCTCGAGATATGGCAGCCCGACGCCCAACCGGTTCGCCCAGAGCGTGCGAGGCACATCAGGTGATCCCAGGAAGGGGGTGCCGCGACTGGAGAGGAAGCCTAGCGTGGGACCTCGCAGCGCGTCTGCCCTCGGCCAGTCGATGGAGTTTCCCGAGGACGACATCACGCCCATGGCCACCGGTCGCCCCAAGACCAACGGCAGCGTTGGCTCTGTTTCCTCCTTCAACTCCAAGTTCCGACCCGCGTCACGGACGGGCAACAATGATGATCATCAAGAGGCTGAGCGACTACGCCACCAGCTCGAAGAGCGCGATCGCCAGCTCCGCGAGCAAGCCGCGACGTTGGCCGACATGGAGAGCAGCCTCACAGAGCTCCAGACGCTGATGGAGAACCCTGACGCCTTGCGGCCGCGACGCAACAGCCTGGACGACAAGGACTCGACGCAGCTCCGCGCCATCCTGCGGGAGAAGAACGAAAAGATCGCCATGCTCACGGCTGAATTTGATGCGCACCGAGCCGATTTCCGCAGCACCATTGACACGCTCGAGATGGCTAGTACCGAGACTGAGAGGGTGTACGAGAAGCGCATCGAGGAGCTGATGCAGGAGATTCGGGATCACGAGTCACGAACCGATGATGTCGACTCGGTTGCCCAGCAGCTGAAACAGCTGGAGGAACTCGTCCAAGAGCTCGAGGAAGGCTTGGAGGATGCCCGACGCGGAGAGGCTGAGGCGAGGGGCGAGGTCGAGTTCCTGCGGGGAGAAGTCGAGCGGACGCGTAGTGAACTCCGCCGTGAGCGGGAGAAGCCCAGCACAGGCCACAGCGCTCCCGCACAAGACGCAACAGCCAGCCCCAAGGAGCTCGAGCAGAAGGAGGATGAGATTCGCGGCCTCAAGGCAATCATCCACTCGCTCAGCAGAGACTCGATCCCCAACGCGGAAGCGCTTGAACGCCAGCACCCCCCGCGCGTGAGCTCTTTCAACAACAAGATGCACTCGTATCCTGCCACGGCCGGCGAGTCGGTGGACTCTCGCGCGGCGCGCGAAAAGATGGAAAAGGAGATGACGGACCTCCGCGCCATGCTCGATGACAAGAACATGCGCGAGGAGGAGCTCGAGCGCGAGGTGGAGCAGCTCCGGGGGCCCTCCAAGCTCAACGCCGCCCCGACACAGAGGTCGTCGTTCCGCGACTCCCGTGACACTGTCGTCCTGGCGCGCCATCGCGAGTCGCGGTCTCCTGAGCTGCACAAGCGGCCGCCCGGCTTCGACAGCGACGCGTACTCGACGGCCACCGAGACTAGCACTCTCTGGTGCGAAATCTGCGAGACGGCGGGCCATGACGTCCTCACCTGCACCGAGATGTTTGGCGAGCATGCGAAGCACAATGGTGCGGCAGCGGCGGCGGCGGCGAGCTCGGAGGGTGGCCTCCGGCCATACCACAACCGCGGCACTTCGCACGACGTGAACAAGCCTGCGCCTCTCGCACCTCTCTCCCCCTCCAAGACCAAGACGCCGACGGCCACGCCCAGCACGCAGATCCTGCCGAACCCGCTCGACTCGGGCCCGGTAGCGGGCAAATCGAGCGGCGTCGTTGACGAGGCCAAGTGGTGCGCGCTGTGCGAGCGCGACGGCCATGACAGCGTCGATTGCCCGTTTGAGGACGCGTTCTAGGCGGGTGGGCGTCACTTTCTTGCACTTTTCTTTTTGCCCCGAAGGAGGCCTTACCTTTCACACAGCCTCCGTGACGGTTCGATTTCACACTTTTCGTTCATACTTGATGCACACGGCATACGGGCGTATTCTGAGCGAGAACGATGATACCACTGTTTTGAAACGCCTCTTGCCCACGATATGCGAGGCTCGTGGTTCTCCTCTGCTGTACGACGAAGACTAGGGAGGCTTTTTGGAGGTCTCATCCTTTCCTTGCCTCTCTGTCTCTTCTCTTACAGCTGGATGGATGATGATGACAATGAGGAGGCACGATACCTGGGTTTGACCGGGACAAGATCATTCCTTGCCGATGAGGATGACTGGACGACGTAGGATATTTTAATTACAATGACTCTTCTTCAACTGCGGACATGATGCGTGGTGTCTTGACAGCGATGCAGGTACGGGGTTCGCCTGGAGATGCGCAACGGTGCTCCAGTGCTAGAAGGGAACTGACATGGATGACGTAACCTTTATGAGTGTCAGGTCATATGGCTTGGTACAGCCCGAACGACAACACGTTGTGTTATCAACGAGAAAGGTTGTTGCTATCATAATGCACGCAAGACCAACCCAATGAGCGAATCACCTTTGCGACGCCCTCGGCAGCAGATCAGACCACTCGCCGTTGATGCGATGCCTGATTGAGCGTCCGATGGGCCAGGTGCCGGGGCCGAAGCTAACCATGCACACCCGCTTGTTCGGCGTCTCCAAGACGAACCCCGTGACACGGCTTATCTAGAGCTGGAGTAACAAGAGGGGGAAGACCCCTCTGGCTTTCGGACGGTGATGAACACCCCCTTTTGCGCCATTGATAGTCGCCATTGCTAGTCATCGTACTGGAAAGCATCATCAGGATATTCATTCGACACACTGGAAAAATGGCCGACTCGGACGTCAAGACGTTCGCCCTCGGAGACTTTGCCCTTCAGTCGGGCGAGACGATCCCCGGCGCCTTCCTAGCGTACAAGACGTTCGGCGCGCCCTCGTCGCCGGCCGTCATCTACCCGACCTGGTACAGCGGCGCCATTGCCGACAATGAGTGGCTCGTCGGTGCCGGCAAGACGCTCGACCCGGCGCGCTACTACATCATCATCCCGGCGCTCTTTGGCAACGGCCAGTCGAGCAGCCCCAGCAACACGGCGGCGGCAGGCAGGACGCAGCACCAGGGCCAGGGCCAGGGCCAGGGCCAGGGCCAGCGGCGGCCGTGGCCGCGCGTGACGTTTTACGACAATGTGCGGGCGCAGCACGAGCTCGTGACGCGGGGGCTCGGCGTCGGGCACGCGCGCGCCGTGCTCGGGTGGAGCATGGGCGCCGGGCAGACGTACCAGTGGGCGACGCAGTATCCGGACTTTATGGACCTCGCCGTGCCGTTCTGCGGCAGCGCGCGCACGAGCCTGCACAACCAGGTGTTTCTCGAGGGCGTCAAGAGCGCGCTGCTCGCGGCCAAGGGGGCTTCGTCGGGGGGCGTCTGCGCTGGCGAGGCGGGCGAGGCCGCTGAACATGGCGAGTATCGGGGGTGGACGGACGAGGAGAGGGCCAATGGGCTCAGGGCGCTCGGCCGGGTGTATGCCGGGTGGGGATTCAGCCAGGCGTTCTACCGGGAGAGGGTGTACGAGACGGCGCCGACGCTGGGGTTCAAGGGGTTGGAGGAGTTCATGGTTGGGTTTTGGGAGGCGTGGGCTCTTTCTAAGGGTGTGTGTGTGTGTGTGTGTGTGCTGTTTTCGCCCTTTGGTGTTTGGTTGACAGCGGCCCAACCCGACGACGGCTGACTTGATCTAGATCCCGAGAACATGCTCGCCATGCTGCACACGTGGCAGGCTGGGGACTGCTCGGACCAGGAACCGTACAACAAAGGTATGCGCCCATGTTGATGTTTCCAAGTCTTGTCGTGCATTCAAAGCATTTCATCAGTTGCTCGGCTGAAGAACAGCGACAGACTTTGAGCTGGCCATGCGCAGCATCAGGGCCAAGATGCTCGTGCTCCCCGGCCAGACGGACCTTTACTTTCCACCCGAGGATTCCGAGTACGAGGTCAAATGCATGAGCCCAGGGATCGGAACGTGCGTTGCCTTCCCCTCGATCTGGGGACACTGGTAGGTCTCTCCGTTGTGGGACAGGTGACTTGATGCTGAGCGTACGATTCCAGGGCTGGCGGGCCGGGGCAGAGCACGGAGGACGTCAAGTGGCTTGATGCGAAGCTGAGGGTCTTCTTTGGCGATGGGTCTGATGCCGATACCGAGGCGATGACCGAACGCCTGTCGACCTTGTAGACGAGGCAGGCTGGTGTGACCTGTTGTGTGTAGGTAGGTACCTGAGTAGGTGGTTGAGGCAAACCTTTGGAGTAGTCCGAGGCAGACATGTCGACTTTGTAGCACGGCAGGTACTCCCTAGGGCCCCTGCCGACGGAGCACCCGAATACAGCACTTGCCTTACTGTCTACTGTGTACATGGTACACCCCAGCCACAATCTGGACGGCGTCAGTCAGCCATCCGCCATGCCGGTGGCTTAGCACGCAGCATAGAACGCTGAACGCTGAACGCTGAACGCTGAACGCTGACGTTGATGTTCGGCGGTCGCAGCCGTGTGCTGCTCATCCTTGTAGCACCTTGTCCATCTTCGTACATACGCAAACAGCACACACACCACGACGACCCTCATCAATCCCCTCCTCCTGTACATACAATTGCAATCCCTCTTGACCGGCCAATTGCTCGAACGCCAAAGAGACCGCCTCAGCACGCATCCTCCTCGCTAAGCTCGCCTCTCCACGGCTTGCGCAACTCGTCCTCAAACGAGCACAGCGGCATCGCCATCTCGAGCTACACGAATCCGTAACGTTGCCGGCATCACGAACCTCGGACCCTCCATTGAGGCTCCCTCCCACGGCTCAATCCATCGCCAGACACACAACCCTCCCTGGGCACCCGCCACAGCCATGGCGCAACTCCTCCTCGATCTCGTCACCTCCTTTGGCAACTGCCTGAGCTGCTTCCCCGGCTCGCCCACCCTCAAGATCAACAATCGCAGTTTCAAGATCTTGCGGCTGCTCGGCGAGGTGCGCCCCTTCCTCCCCCCCTCTCTCTATCATGAACGATCTGTGGCCCCCAATTCCTATCATGAGCTGACTTGTCCCTCCAGGGCGGCTTCTCTTACGTCTACCTCGTCGAGGACACATCCACACAGGCGCAATACGCCCTCAAGAAGATCCGCTGTCCCTTTGGCGCCGAGTCGGTCGCCCAGGCCATGCGCGAGGTCGACGCCTACCGCCTCTTCGGCCGCACCCCAGGCATCATCCACGCCGTGGACCACGCCGTGGGCCTCGGAGCGCGGCGGCGGCGGCGACGACCCCGGCGCCAAGACGGTCTACGTCCTGCTGCCCTACTACAAGCGCGGCAACCTCCAAGGACCTCATCAACGCCACGCCGTCACACGCCACCTTTCCC